CGCGATAAGCAGGCGTTAGTTAGAGAAAAACTACTCCTATCTTTGATAGTAAGTCTACTATAATATAGATAACTTAAAATAATAAAGTGATAGAGAATTAAAATGCTAAAACGCTAGCTACACCGCCCCTCTATCTTCTATCCCGATTCAGAAAAGTCAAACCGCAGCACTAGCTAGGTCTCCCTGTTGTAACCTCTGCCAAAGCTCTAGTATACCTGAATAGGTATCAAAGACGCAAAACGCAACCGCGCAACCAAACAGGCCCTTACTTTCTTCACTAAATACAGTACGGATTTTAAGTAATTATAAACTCTAACTATAGGCTAATCTTAGCTTCTACTCTACTCTACTAGTCGCTTAAAAACGTTTTTACTTTACTACACTCTATATAATAGAATATGTAAGACCGGACCGAACCAATAACTGTAAATTATTTACCTCCGCATCGGAGTGAATGGTAGCCCGTGTTACGTGTTACACTGCACTAGGGATTCAGCCGCGGCACCTAATGTCGGCAGTAAAAAGCTCGTAACTGGCAATCTCCGCAAACGGCGAGAGTTATTTGAACGTAACCCTTTGCTGATTTTTTCGATCTTGACACCATTCCTACCCATTCTTTATACATACCTTGCGGAATCATTTTGATACCATGCCGTTTCTACACTCAGGGACGCAGCCAAAAATCCTCATTGCAGGCGCCGGTATCGGCGGTCTAACAACCGCGTTAGCGCTCCATTCCGCTGGCTTCAACAACATTCAGATCTTTGAAGCGTCGTCGACTCTCACAACACTGGGTGTCGGAATTAACGTGCAGCCTTCTGCTGTCTTGATACTGCGCAACCTAGGTCTCCTAGAGGCCTTGGAGAAAACAGGCATCAAAACACAAGAGCTGAACTTTTACAACAGACATGGAGACTCTATCATTAGCGAGCCCAGAGGCCTTAGCGCAGGGTACATGGTCCCGCAGTTCTCGCTTCATCGCGGAGATCTTCAGATGTTACTTCTGAGTGCGGTGAAGGAGCGTCTTGGAGAAGATGTGCTCCATCTCAACCATGCCTTTACGGCTTTTGATCAGAACAATGACAGTATTACAGCGCGCTTTTCGCGCAGAAGAGACGGAGAACCAGCGGATATGTCGAGTGTAACTGGTGACGTTTTGATCGCTGCAGATGGTATCAACTCGACAGCTCGAAAGATACTTTACCCTAATGAGGGACCACCTCGATTCTCCGGACGCATGCTGTGGCGCGGATGTATCGAGCGCGACCCGTACCTGACGGGCGCGAGCATGGTTTGGGCCGGCCATGCTGACCAAAAGTTCATTGCGTATCCCATCAGTCAAAGGTCTGCCGACAAGGGCAAGAGTTTGGTCAACTGGATTGCGGAGCTCAGAATACGCGCCAAGGACGACGTGGATCTGACACCGCCCAAGACAGATTGGACCAAAGCCGTGAAAAAGGATATCTTCGCAGGGCCATTTGAGTCATGGAGATGTGGAGGTCTAGAGATGAAGGATCTCATCGACAGCACGGAGAAGGTGTTTGAGTTTCCCATGTCAGACCGCGATCCAGTCGAGGCGTGGTCTTTTGGCCGTCTCACCCTTCTCGGTGATGCAGCACACGCCATGTACCCCATTGGCTCCAATGGCGCGTCCCAAGCCATCCTTGACGCCGAGTCGCTCGCCAAACACCTTTCTTCCAACACCTCGGATATTCAGGGTGCGCTCAAGGCTTACGAGCTTGAACGACTCCCGCCAACAGCCAAGATTGTCATGGCGAATCGCGCCAATGGTCCAGATCACGTGCTCCAATTAGCAGAGGAAAGAGCGCCAGATGGTTTCAAGAACGTACACGACGTTATTCCCAAAGATGAACTTGAGGGAATTGGCAGAGTATACAAAAAGGTTGCAGGATTTGAAATGGATAGTGTGAATGGAAAGGCCAAGGAGACGGAGGGCGTTGATGTACAGAAGGGCCTAAAGAGCCCGCAAGACTGGATATAGTGGCATGGGAATAAAATGGGTGGAGTATAAGGACTAACTTCACATCATTATGCACATACATACATATGTAAACTCGGTTTAAGACAATAGGGTAATGGTTTCGCTGCTGCGCAGGCTTGATGCGATTTGGGGTTGAAGCTAGTAGTATGAATTGGTTTAGTAAACAAAAAAACATGGGGCATCCTTCTAACGACACACTTCTATTTACACAATCAGAGTGGCATCAATCAAACATGCAAAGAGATACAGAGTACTGGTAACAACACACGACACGTCATCGCATTTCGGTCATACCAAGGCGCCAACACCCTTGATCATGGCAGTGCACCAAGGACGCCTCCCTCACCAACCTCGCCCAAGGGCCAATCCCACCAGTATCATGCGCATCACTTTCTCAGCGCCATCCTTGACCAAAGCCTCCGTCTGCACAATTGCCTCATCCAGCGACAAGGGACCTCTGAGGATACTTGTGAATGCCTTGATGCCAGCACTGTAGCAGCCGTCTGCCCCTTCTCCAATAGTGCCAGCCAATGCGACTACTTGCGCACCGTTCCGCCTTGCCCGGCGGGCGATCTCTGTCGTCATCTATTCATGTTAGCCAGGTTGCAAACCGACAAGAATCAAGTCGACCAACCTTCCCATTTGGTGACTGGAAGTCCAGGCTTCCCTCGGCGGTAATGACAAAGTCCCATTGCTGATCCAGAACACGATCAATTTCAAAATACTCGTTGATAGCCTCGCCACGCGCACGAAGCTGAGCGCCAAGCAGCATCAAGGCTGCTCCAAGGCCGCCACTCGCACCACTCCCTGGGCTATGGGAAATGTCCTTTCCTAGTTTTGTATGAGCCACTAGGGCTAACTGTTCAAGTACTGCTGCCAGCAAGTCGACTTGAGCAGGTGTAGCGCCCTTTTGCGGTCCGTAGACTCGCGCAACCCCTTTGGGACCGCACAGCACGTTTTTGATATTGCACACAGCCTCTATCTGCACCTTCTCGGCTATTACTGAATTAATTGTCTGTCCGTATTCAGGGCTTGGAGTATGTACTTACGGCAATCTTCACGCAAACGAGGATGAATACCGCGCCAGTCCAGGCTGGCTAGACGAGACAAGGACTGACCACCACCTGCCATGGGCAAGTCATCGCCGTCTACATCTATAAGACGGACACCGAGTGCCTGGAGCATGCCGGCTCCACCATCAGATGTGCCCGAGTCTCCACACCCAATGACGATCTTGGTGCATCCTGCATCAAGTGCTATTTTCATCAATTGTCCGACACCGAAAGTAGTTGTCACAGTCGGGTTGCGCAAATGCTTGGGGACAAGACGGAGGCCTGCTGCAGCGGCCATGTCTAATACGGCCGTCTCCTTATTGGCACCGATGAAGCCTATGTGAGACTCGACAGGTTCGCCGACAGGACCCAAGACTGACTCCTCAACGATGCTTCCATCATGAGTCGCCACTAGTGCCTTTGCAAAGCCTTCTCCGCCATCGTGCAGAGGTAGCTTGCGCAGTATGACGGAACCCTTGTCCAAGACCTTGGTTATGCCTGCTTCGATGGCATCAGCAACCTGTTCTGGGCCCAAACTTTCCTTGAAACCCGACGGGGCTATCAGGACACGGAGTGGATGCCCTTTCAAGAGCTCTGAAGTGGGAGTCTGTGACACGGCTGAGGTGGGATGCACGAGTTCGTCCACTTGCTCCCGTGGTAAGTTGAATGTCTTGAGCGAACGGAGCGGCGGCAGTTGAGGTAGACGCCTCGTAATTGCTGGCTCACCAGCATGAGCGAAGGACTCCATGGATAGAGGAGGACTCATAATCATTTTTGGGGGTAGTAGGGAGGTAAAAATTGAGTAACTGGGGTATCGCTAATTGAAAAGGGGTATCGTGGAAGTGTTTATTTGTTGCAACGAGAGTTGAAGGTGCGTGGATACAGAGCGAGTGAAATGAATATCCGTTGCTGGATATCATCTCCGTCGTCAGGCATACGGCTTACTTATAGCTCTCTTTTTTGTCTCGAGTCTTTTGCTCGCCTGAAGTTGCAACTTTCCAAATTACAAGAATGCAGGCCACAGGCTGGTCCCATTCCTGGTTGCACCACACCACACGAGATAACGCCTAAGGAATTGTTGTTTCAAAGCCTCAAGACCAGCACAGCAGCGCCACCTCAACCAAGACGCAAATTAGTCCAATGTAAGAAGCTGCAATTTGGTCCCCTGCAGCTTCATAGCAAGTAGCACAGCCAGGCATGACGACTACAACATAGCCCTTTTGACCCAAGATCATAAGACTCCTCTACGGCGATGCTTTGGCCGCTCAACGGTAGTCTTGCCCCTCTATCTTGCATTGGCCCGCGTACCAGTGTTCTTGGACATCTCCAGTTTTATTTCTTGGACCGTAGTTGGTCGGGCCAATGGCAGTCATCTCATGTGCCTTCACCAAGCAACTTAGCGAGACTACCAAGATGCACCCTTCTTGGCACAGTAGTTATAGACACAGCCCGTATCGCTGACGTCTCCATGAGGCTGTCACGACATAACCCATGCCGCCTTCTCCCGTCTCATGGGAGTATCCGCTGTATTACGATTGGCCGGCAATGACGTGAAGTCCCTTGTTTGCTATTGTGCCCTCACGCGACATTGTTTCTATTCTTACATTTTGCCTGCATATGCCACACAGCCTGAGGTTTGCCGGCACTAATCATGGCTGATGCAGTTGTCTGGAGCGTGGCATTCAGGCTAAGGGGAGTCTTCGCTGGCTTTCCGGTCAACTTTGGGACGTATGTGGCTGTTGCCCGTACAGGACACGGCCGGATGCCTTGCTACACTGCCTCAAAGTTTTATATTGTAATTCGATAGTAGTTGTGTAGTAGCCTAGACGGGGATGAATGGTTTATTATATGATGAGCAGGTAGCATTACATTTCGTAGACCCTGCCATCATCTATCTCCATACAACCCAACATTCGTTTTTATATTGTCGTTCGCTACTGTTATTCATGGGGCTTAAATACAAGATACTCAGACATCCTTCTGTCGATTCAGACGAGTCAAAAGATGCCCTTGTCCTGCCGAGATGGTCTTTTGAACGTAGTGATCATTCGATCCTAAGCACTGAGCTGTTGTTCCGACAGTGGAATCAGAACGACAACCAGGACACACGATACGACGCTGGCCATCTGATCGAGGAGGAGGACAACATTCAACGTAGGGAGATTATCGTACGTTACATGTCTATCAGTCTTCATACAACAACGACTAAACTAAACCTCACAGGTCACCTGGGACGGCCCCAACGACCCCAACAACCCCCTCAACTGGAGCAACAGACAAAAATGGATAACCACCATCCTCGTCTCCCTCTTTACCTTCATCTCGCCCTTTTCCTCCACAATGGTAACACCCGCATTACCCGCCATCGGCAAGGAATTCAAAATAGAAGAAGGCTTCAAGCGGCAACTCGTCATGACAATCTTCCTGCTGGGCTACGCCCAAGGCCCCTTTGTGCTCGCCCCCCTGAGCGAAATCTACGGCCGCGTGACGGTGCTCCAGTACGCCAACCTCATCTACCTCGTCTTCAACACGTGCTGCGGCTTCGCACAAACCGGGCCGCAGATGCTTGCGTTCCGGTTGCTGAGCGGGCTCGGGGGCGCGGCGCCACAAGCTGTAAGTCGCAACGCCACTCTCGAGGTATCAGTAGTAACATGCCAGCCTTGTTAGCTGGTGCATGTTTGTCTAACCAGGAAAAATAATAGTTGTGTAGTGGCGTGTTAGCAGACACATGGAGCAAAGAAGAACGCGGCAAAGGCCAGGCCATCTACGGCATCCTCACCTGGCTCGCACCCTGCATCGCGCCCATCTGCGGCGCCTACATCTCCACCGCCGCAAGCTGGCGCTGCATCTTCTACGCCACGTCCATCTTCACCGTCTTCGTACAGCTCACTGCGCTCTTCTTCCTCGCAGAGACCTTCGCCCCGGCTATTCTGGCTAAGAAAGCGAAAGCCATGCGCCGCGATACTACTACTACTACTACTACTACTACTACTACTACTGCTGCTGCTGCTGCTGCTGCTATGCAGGATGGGAATGTAGTTGTGATCCGCACCGAGTTCGAGACGGGAGACCGCATGAGCAGGATTCTGAAGAAGAAGTTGGTGCTCCCGTTCATCATGATGTTGACGCATCCGGCGACGCAGGCGCCGTCGCTGTATCGCGCGTTTTTGTATGGGGTTATGTATTTGATGCTGTCGACGTTTCCCTTGGTGTTTGAAGAGGCGTACGGTATGAGTGTTGGAAACGCATCTTTGAACTATCTCTCGTTGTGTGCAGGGTTTATGGTTGGGTTGCAGATTTCGCATCCGCTCATGGATGGGGTATGTTTCCTTCCCTCTTCCTCTCTTTTCGTTACGTTGGGTGTACGTGTGCTAACCTGCAAATAAGCTCTACGCTCGCATGAAATCTTACTACAAGCTCACTGAAGGTCTCCCTGAATTCCGCGTCCCGCCCATGCTCATAGCAGGCATTTTGTGTCCGATCGGGCTCTTCATATACGGTTGGACGGCACACTACCACATCCACTGGATCGTGCCAAACATCGGTGCTGCGATTGTGGCTGTGGGTCTCATCATTGGGTTCCAGTGCTCTCAGGCGTATACGACAGATGCGTATGAAGCGCGGTATGCGGCGTCGGCGGCGAGCGTAGGTGCGTTTATGCGGACCATGTGCGGATTTAGCTTTCCGCTGTTTGCGCCGCAGATGTATGAGAGCATGGGTTTGGGGTGGGGGAATAGTTTGTTGGCGTTTTTGACATTAGGACTGGGCTTGGTGGGGCCCGTTGGGTTGTGGTTTTATGGGCCAAAGTTGAGGAAGATGAGTTGGAGGGGGTTGGATTGACGATGAGGATGACAATTGCTTTCTTTTGTATTTTTTTGGGCTTGCGTAATGAAACCCCTTGATTTTACCATGTAGAATATTTCTTGTATGGAATTTTTCGATGTATAGAGAGATTAGTGTAATACAAATATTTCTTGAATTGAGAATATCAACTATCTTTGGTAGAACAAACGCGATATTTCCTTTGAAGAACCAGTATTTCTCATCGAATTCCTCCACTATTTCATGGTCTCCCGCATCAATGATAGCCAAAGATGCTCCATACGCTCGTGCGGTACTTACCCACTCTGCAGCTGGAAAAACTTGCAAGCTAGTCCCAGCCGCAATCACCAAATCAATGTGTTCTTTTGACATCCATTCATCAACACTATCTGGCGTGCCAGCAGCCAGCCTCTCACCAAACCAAACAACTCCTGGGCGCAATAGATTTGCACATTGGGGGCAATGTGGAAGGTCAGATAACGCGACTGAGCGTGCTTCGTGATCAGTGTTGGATAATGAAAGAAGGAATGGGACTTCTTGCGGCTTGTAAACGTTAATAGAATAATCGCATGCAGTACACCAAATAATCTAGAGTGTGCCGTGAATGTTCAGTAGCCTTGACATTGAATGACCGGTTTGCTCGAGAAGGCCTGAACTCCTATTAGCGCACCAACCGCATGATTCTTCCACGCTACTATCCGTACCATCAACGCTTTGATTGATAGTCAGTCACCCGTGATGCCAATTAGCAAGTGCCGCCAACGCATGATGTGCCGCATTTGGCCTCGCTTCCAACGCCTCGAGTAAACTTTCGCCGTAAAATCTCCACACTGTAACTGGATCTTCTTGAAACCTTTCGGTTGAAGCAAGTTCTTTCAGATTGACGTCGTTCCATAGCCCGTTTGTTCCACGCCAGGTGGCACGTGATGGCCTAGGTAGAGCAGAGCCAGGGTACGCTAAGAAGAGTTGCGCTGAAGCGCCAAGATTAGTGTTACTAGACAAAACCTTTGAAAGACACATCTGCACCTTAGAGATATGTAAATAGTCGTCTTGCAGTAACCATTATCTAAGTTCATCTCAAGCCATAGTAATTAATTCATTACTTACAAAGAAAACCTTTGATGTGAGCCGCCTTACCAGAAACGCTCGTCATGGTCGGTCGACTTCGACCAGTTTGGCTTGCACGAGATCTAGGGTCTCTAAACAAAATCTAGCAATTGCTCTAAGAAGTATGTTAAATCGCAGGGGCCTACTCATAACGCGTAAGATGTGAGTGCTAACGTGGGAAGTTGTTCATGCGATGCGGGCATCCGCCACTATTTCGGTGTTTTCCCATGGGCCGATTTTCGTCCATTTTCCGCACGCGCGAATTATTGGCCCGTTTTCCCAATGTGCAATTCTTGGTCTGAAAATAAACGGGGAATCAATCAGGCCGAACTGCATTCGAATATTTGTCAGAAAAGAAAGGGGAAATACATCAGGCCGAACTATCATGAATTTTGGCAAATTCATAAGCCGATTTCTAAGCGGTGGAGGATTTGTACGTTGCGCAACAACAATTTGGGTTTCATATTCCTGACATTCGGGGGAACAGGGTCAGAATACACAACGAAGACGGATTTCTCATCTCAATGCTTCAGTGATGTCATGAATATAGTTAGGTACCTCGAATATGAGGGAGGGAGAGTGCGAATATAAAGGCTATGGGATTTCTTCTACAAAAATCGTATCAACATCTCCAATAACTACCATCCAGACAAAGAAAACTTATTTCAACAAACTCCTTCATCTATCAGTTAGATAACTATGACTACCAGCAAATCCTTCACGGCAGAAACTGGCGGCTTGGAAATCGCCAAAGCCTACTCATCCCAAATTACTGGTAAAACAATTCTCATCACTGGTGTCTCCCCTGGAGGTATTGGCGAGGCTACTGCTCGCGCATTTGCCCACGGAGGTGCATCTATCGTCATCGCAACTGGACGCAATAAAGCCCGAGTCGAAGGCGTGACCAAAGAACTCTCGGTTGAATACCCATCTACAAAGTTCCTCAGTGTCATTTTCGACCTCGCCTCCCTTAAAGACGTCCGCCGTGCTGCGAACGAAATCCTTGGTGATAAATCCATCGAGAAAATCGACATCCTCGTCAACAACGCTGGCGGCATGTTCGAAAGCCCCGAGCGTGAACTCACAGTCGACGGTATCGAGATGCATCTCGCCGCCAACTATCTGAGCCACTTTCTTTTCACCAAGCTGCTCCTCCCACGACTGCTTGCGGCCGCCAAGGTAAACCCTCCTGGCGCGACCCGCATCATTCCTGTAGGCAGTGAGGCCATCAATTTCAGCCCCTTCCGTTTTAGCGACTGGAACTTTGACCACGATAAGAAACTCGCCGCCGACGAGAGGCCCAATTGGGACCTCCTCACTAATGTGACGGGAATCCCAGAAACCACAGAATTCAACGTCTTCGTTGCGTACGGGCAGAGCAAAACCGCCACTGCACTTTTCACGGTCCAGCTCAACACATTGCTTGCCAAGGAGGGGATCTTTGCGTTCTCACTTCATCCAGGAAGGGTGAGAAGTACAGCAGCGCTAGGGGTAGTAGCGTCGTTGTCTGAAGATCAGAAGGAGTTAGCTGACAAGACATTTACCAAGACTATTGATCAGGGGAGTTCGACGATTTTGATGGCGGCTACAGACCCTGGATTGAATCCTGAGAAAGGGGTGTGGTTGGAGGATAATCAGCTTGCGGAGCCGGTTGCGTGGGCGGTTGATAAGGAGAAGGCTGAGAGGCTGTGGAAGTTGTCTGAGGAGATTATCGCTGAGAAACTGGGGAATTAAGCTCGCTGGAATGCATTATTAGAGCTCTAGACATAGCTTAGAAGACTGCAATGATGTTAGATTATAGTACTTAGATATTTTTGCAACGAAATGATAGGAATTGATGACAATTCATCGGTTAAAAGTGGTATCTGGTTCCCTTTAGGTGTGTAAACCCTTGTTTTTTCTTTCTTTAAAGGTAGAGCACACATCTTAGAAATTTTACAAAATATCGTTGTAGTTTACGTGATCGTCGTGGTGCAATATTATTATATCGGAGTGTGATACAGGTTGTGTACATACTACTACGTCTAATAAGCGCCGCAGGCGGGGCATGGGAACAGGACAATGTAGTACAGCCAACACTTGCCAAGAACAACCAACTCATATCATCTCAACTTCTACCATGTATCTGCCTCTATCACTAGCGGATCGAAATTCTCTGCGCGTATTTGTTATTCTATTATATCGCCTTTTCTACATTACTTAAATCTAACCGCCTGTAAAGGTTGCTATGTGTAATAAGAGGTTCTAGTCGAAAGACAGCAGCACATGCGTATGCCCTATGGAGTGTCCTAACATACTCTTCATGCTTTAACATCGAAGCAGATTTTCGCAACGCGTCTTATAGCCTCAACGTCAACTAAAGTCTTCGCGCTCTGTACGTCTTCAATCTGCGTCACATTCATGCCGACCATGACCTTGTGAATCGCATTCGACATTCAGCCTTGCCATCCTGCATCTCATCAATAGCCTTGCCAATTATGAGCAGTGTATGGCATCTTGCACGGATCGAGGAGGAAATTTTCGCGGCCACAGCAGCACTGTTTGCTATTTACACGCAGCAGCAATCTGTTTGTCAACCTACCCCTATACTTCCCGAAGGCGACGATGATAGTTCAGGTGAAGAGGATATCAACGATGACTGGCAAACAACGGTGGCTTGCGAAAGGCTTCATCGAGCGACGGCGCATACTCTCAAAGATAAATTTCTCGATCGATTGTCAGAAGTGCTTGCGCGCGAAAAGACCTCCAAATTACACCTCAAACAATCCACGGCAAAGCATGTAGCTGCTGCAGCTTGGATCAACCCCAGCTGCCAGCATCCAACAACCATTCTTTTGGCCAAGAACGAAGGCCTTGACGAGCGCGATCGCAAACTGTTAGGGGGGTTACAGACTTGGCTTCGCGTAATATCCATGACGGGTAGAGCTCCTTCGAAAGAGAAAGATCTTCTTTGGGATAGTCGAGCAGACAAAGAAGGGCTTATCGGGTACTCCCGTCTCAGGCTGGAGCTTTATGTTTCTCAGGTCAGTCGATCTAAAGTCGATGTCTCGGGACTAGACGTGGACGACCCATCGACCGGGCCAATTCAACGCCTATTCCAGCTCTGTGAAACATACAGCAATAGCCCAAGCATCCCTACCCTGAGGGAAACAGTGGACTTAGCCTATGAGCTGCGGGGCGCTGACTCACATCAACTCAAAAAACCTTCTTTTACCAAAGTCTTCAGGGCAGTTTTAATGCTCAGCCAGCTCCATGCTACGTACAAGTGCTTCAAGACAACTGCACTCAGCTTTCCCAAGTTTAGATCTCTTAAGTGCAAACCGGTAGACTCTCCTCACAAAGTAGGCATTGAAGCAAGCAAGTTCTACGAGCAGGTGCAAAGCTTAGCGAAGAAAATTCGCCGTAAGCAGCTCGCGAAAGGTCGCCATATTCAGCGCTACCAAGGTGCCTCGTAGTTACGAGTCCATGCGGAGATGCAGAGTCTTGTACGTTTGGAGTCCGAGTTAAAGTGGCAGCAAATGGTCCACGGTTACATTGGGACCAGCAAGAAGCCATGTTTCTTATGCAACGACCTTCTCCAAAATTACGTCAGACTTTCCATGGATAGCAAACGTACCCCAGCTTTTCGTGCTCGGAAGTCTCACGGAAAGGTATATCCGCTGTGGACACTACCGTCTATCCCGGCTTCTGCAGCGTCCATTGTTGGTCTACCTATAGCTGCGGCACTAATAAAAACCCACAGCTACATCCTTCGAGTTCTTTCTGCCGGTTCAGTAATACTCCAACCAGCTATAGCGGAGTCTTCTGTTGGTATGTCTGAGGGTGACGTATTATTTGGTACAACTCCATCTAAGCTGAAGCGTGAGCATCTTGCCCACGAACGAAGCAAGACCGCACGTATGCCAGCAGAAAAACCAGATGAAAGTGACGACAATTTTGGTCCGAAACTGAAGACGGTTCAGGTACTTCGGATACCGGCTGACGGAAGCGAGCCCAGACTGGTACCCATTGCCATTCATGTCCAGTCCCTAAAGTCCAAACGCTGGATCCCAGAACTCGGCCTTCACATCGTGCCTGATTTTCGTGAATACTGGGGAGCTTACCACGTTGACCGTAAACTCAGATGCTTCAATATTCATGATCAACCCATCAAAATGATCGAAGGGGACTATTGGATTTATCGGAATGAGAACATTGATCTTCCAGAAAACGAGTACATCAAGCGAATGCTTGGCCTTGACCACATCGATTCTTCAAGGCGTTTTTACTACGGCGATGTTTTCATGGTGAAATATACCGAGCATCCAAAAACCCTCGCGTGCGAGGTCAACAGCATACCAAACGCATTGCCCCCAAAGCTAATCGTAATGCTAAAGAGGGTTTTCCAGCACGAATGGGACAAGGCATATCTAGAATTGCAGCTTCAAATCGATCAGGATATGCAAGAACAAATACTCAAGGTGAAGACAGATAAGGAGGTTCTTTACTCAAGGATGTATGTTGTCTTTACTATCTTTACTACATATATTCAGACATTTGCATTTCGTCGCTAACAAGCCAAAACAGGACTCCAATTGAGCGTGAAATTATAGATAGCATGCCATCAAGTGTCTTGGAAATACTGGCGATTCAGTTATGTGATGATGGTGGGTTGATTGACACAATTATAAGGCCTTCCGATGATCCAGATACAATATTAATCGGGAAGTGAGAAAGCCGAAGGCATTAGACTTGATGGGATGGAATGGGTTCCAAAGTTCACAGTTGTAAGGTAGTATAGCGCAGTGGTAAATTCGAATTCGAAGCCGGATCAACCAAAATCTGTACCCACTTAGATCTAACACATTGCCAGTGGCTGCAAGCCGCCAGCTTTCAGAGTATTCTTGCAACCATCCTACGATCTGTATGAAAGCTCAGTATTACTACTGATCCCATGGTCTAGTGATGCTAGGCTTGATCTGTCGAATGCGGCGCCCCACCCCTGGTTATCGTGTGGTGCTAACTTTGTCACAACTTGCTAAGCACTATATATAACAAAGGTTCAGATGCAGAAAATACATTAAGGGCCAGCATGTCGCTCGATTTAGCGGCTAAAGTAGGCAAAAGGACGAAAACATAGTTCAGGAGTTTGGTGTGGGTGTGAATCATCTATCATCAAGAAGCGACAGAAGTTAAACAGCACAAGCACCGGGAAACATGTCATTTCTTGAGGCTCCTGGTATTTAGGCATAGCTCGGAGCAATATCACACCTTAGGTAAGAAGAAAAATAGCTACAGTGTTGGTTTAAATGACTAAAATTATCCAATGGAAACTTAATCTCTAAGCGTCTTGATTCACTCAAGCCATGCTACTAAGCGCCGGCCTTCTCAACCTCTAGTTCAGGCCGATAAAATCGCTTCTTTAGTTCTTTACAATATTCGCAATCTACATCTTATTTAATTAATTATCTTCTGAGCATTGACAGTCAAACTTACTTCCTCCCGAGAGATTATAAAAATCATCCTCTCCCATCTGGATAGGGATGCAGCTTCTTTTTTTTCTTAGCCTATGACCACCCCTGTAATTATACTTCTGATCCCAGGACTTCATCCAGAACTTATCGTTATACGCAAGCATGTCGCATGGATGCATGCTATCCAATACATGCCATTGTTTCTTCTATCGGTATGTCTTGGTGAACTTCACAATTCTATATATTTAAATAAGCAGGGACATACCATCTTGAAATATATAAGGTCGCAACGGCCAGTCTTATCCTTCAACTCACGCAACATAGCATGCATCTTGTTAACTCCTATAAGGCGAACCAAGTGCCCATATCTCTCCTTGTCAGAGGTTGGATACTTCTGACAATTGATTTTTCCGCCTTTCTCAGGGTGTTCCTTAATCCATTTCCTAGCCTCGCTTACGATATCTTCTATGGCGGGGTTTTTGCGAATGCGTATCTCAGGACTAAAGCTGAAGAATTCACCCGCTGGAATGATATGGTAATGGCCCATCTTATCGTCTTTTCGCAGAGAAATGCTAGACCGAAAGCCAGGTCTGAGATACAAAACGAAAGTGCGGATGCAGTAAACGTGAAGGAAGACGCGTCTACATATATACCCATACGCGTCAGAAGTTCGACACGAAGGCACGTGGGTGGCGTGAGAAGCTTCCAGAAACGCACTGAAAACCAGACGCGCTAAGTGTTCTAATTGGATAGCTGCCTTCCACCTGCCAGCGCGAGGTGGCGATTTTGATAAAATATGCGCCACCTACGTCCTAATCACGAGGTATAACTCAAGATGACTAAAACTAATTGTTATGCGTATTAAGAAGTGTTTTAAGAACGTATTGAATTATTTATATGACGTTTCTAACATCTTCAAAAACGACAGTGCTAGATACAGCCTAAATAGGTCTCTTTGGAACCTAGAATTGTGATATTAACGTAACCGTAAACTTTAAGTTGGTATGTCTAGATACAGGAGATGTCAAAATACTTAGCCTAAAGCTTTTGCCCATAAAGAATAAAAGTGGCAGAGTGTACTAAAAGTCTTGGTGTCTCTAAATTGGTACAGTACGATGAGTGGTGCAGTGCTCGCAGATGTACACTACGTAGTTAGTCGAGTTGACATCATAAACGAAGCTTTAGATACGAGGATGTAATGTCAATCCAAGCGTGCCAGGACGCACGGTGTAACGGGACAGTTTTTGCTTTGAAGTCTCGCTGTCTCTCATTTGTAAGATTGTTGACCTATAGTCGGCAAGTCAATGTTCTAGAGCTGGTTCCATTCTATGTCATCAACCTCTAGTATAAATTTTCGTAATATTAGCCTTACTATTAATTGTTTCGTTAACGCTTTTAATTAACCTTTCGTCGATACTCCCCTATCTTCTCGTAATGTAAAGGACGTATACAAAGATTAGAAGGTCTATTAGAAAGGAGAGTTCTTAAATAAGGTATCCTAGAGATATAAAGAATATTTTAGCCTAAGAAGCATACAGTCTAGTAGTTTTGCAAATAAAAACGATGATCGCTAAAAGCGTTCCGCGTGTCGGACCTCTCTAATGTCTCTTAACATACAGGTTGCGCGCAGTAACGTGCTTAGATGTTGCCGTATACTATCGTAACAAATTCGATGCTATACCCGTAGCAGCTCACCTACTAAGAATAGCCGTGGCGCGTGCCGGCGGCTTTCAACAAGTCTGTACGGCTAGATGCTCAACCCCACTACTACAGCGCGACCTTAGCCGCTAACGCCGTTTACGCTGTCTAGAGATACCTCTAATTGATACAGTGTAGACGTGTACAAGGCGAACCTACGTCATTTAATGATTAGTGCAATTACTTCGCTGCTAGAGCACTAGCAAGCTCGCACGGTACGGCGCGCTTAGGTTCATCTTTTCCCGTCCTGTGTTAGTATTGGCTAGGCAACATCAACGCGCTTCAGATGTTTACTACCCTATTAAGCTCGCAACGCTAAAGACGCTTTTATTATAGCTAAAGCTACTCTACAGCCTTGTGGCTGGCGTTCTACATGCGCACAAAGCTACAACTACCCCTCCCAAGGCCTCGTGTGATGCCGTCGCCATCCTAAGAAAACCACACAGCGCCCTCGACTCAGCTCGTGCATTTAAGAAGGCTGTTCTATCACCAAGACATCTAGAGCTGTACAGCTATCCATTCTCCTCCTTTTACGCCGACCTCTACAGCACACGGTACGGCCACCACGCCCTTGTCCTACTAGGCTGCCACATCAAGCCTCTCGCGTCTCGTTCACACCGCGTGCCCACCACACACCCATACAGACCTATGCACCCGCACTTATGTTCAGCCCGGCAGATAGTCTGATGAGACAGCTGTTCCAGCATGAAGAGCCAGAAGCAATCAGTATCAGGCCAACTTCAAGCGAGGAGTCGAGCGCGTGTCTACAGACGCTCGAAGGCCATAGCGATTCTATCGCACGACTAGAACGTGCCTGTAGTAATCTAAATTGACCTTGCGTGGCGGTAGTCTTAATCTTTTCTCTTTCGGCTTTCTCTCTGGCCCACTCAGTTTTTTTGCAAATATGTACTATCGCAAACAGATAAGGGTGTGTTAGGGGAGAGTCTAGGGACAACGTTGATAGAGGGAGCGACAGCACGGTTGACGACATGTTTTGTGGCGTTAGAGATTGACTTGCTAAGAGAGTAAGGCCTCTAGAATAGACACGTGTTGTATTTATTTGTATTCGAGAACGCTTAGGGAAATTCGAGGGTCCAGAAGAGAAACTGTCCCGTTACACCGTGCGTCCCGGCACGCTTGGATTGACGTTACGTAGTTTACATTTTTATTTTCTTTTGCTTAGAGCATCTAATGGAATAATGAACGACCTAACCCAGTCACTCCATTTCTGTGCAATGCCTTTTTCAGTACCACCGAAAACTCCGAAAACCTTTGAAGAATGTCAAGACATAACCTGCGCCCCTTGGAAACTAGTCACTTTTTGACGCAAAACTCCATTCCCATCTTGCTACTTCTCATTTGCCTTCTCCTCAACCGCCTTCCCCGTCCCCAGCTTTTCCAGAGCCTCCTTAAGACCATCACGCTCGCTGCTCACCTTCTCGAAATCCTGAACAACCTCACTGACGATTTTGTTCACATCTTCAATCTGCTTTCGAAGATTAGAAGCCTCAGCCATCATGGCCTCATGCTCTTTCTTCAAGCTCTCGACCTGTTTCTTGTCGGCGGTACTGCCCGCGCTGCTGTCTTGCTGCGCTCTCGAAGTCTCCTTCGACAGCTTCTTGGCTTCCTTGAGTTCGATTCTCAGCGCTTTGGTGACTTCGGCGTGTTTCTTGCACAAATCGTCCTTCTCCAGCATCCATCGCCTTCTATCCGCAACACCCTGGTCTTTCTTTTCCTGCTGGAGAGTCTCAATTTGCTTCGTAGCATCGCGGAGGTCATGTTCCAAGTCGCTGATTTGCGCAGGTAGGATACGGAGCTGCGCAAGTTCGGCTTCTTTATCTTCGCAGAGCTGGTAGTTCTCCTTCATAGCTTCGTCTTTTTCATTATTGAAGAACGCGGCGCGCCAATATTTGATCTCGCCCTGCTTGTCGTCGAGGGACCGTTGGTATTTGGGAATGACATTTACCGCATAGTGCTGGTCGCATTGATTCTTGATATCCTCTACCATTTTTGGTTTCTCGGCTTCCAATCCCTTGATCTTCTCCAAACAATCTGTGATATCCGCTTGCATCATTCGTAAGCTGTTTTCGTTGGCTTCGAGTGACTCCTTTCTGTTCTTCACCAATTCTTCGAGGCTCTCTTCATCGGGTGCCGTATCGTTGTCTTTGAAGACGCCGAGGCACTTGAGCATAGCATCTCGCTTCTCAACGCTTTCCATCAAACGCTGCATTTCTTGCCTACTTTTTTCCAGTTCGTTGGACATATCGCGAGCGTCAGCATCCCACTCCCGTTTCGACTTTTTGTCTTCTCCGGGGTCGATCTTCATCTCCTCAATTTGGCCTTCAACTGCAGGTACTCTGGTGATTACAAAGCCTGACCTGAACGCCAGATACAGCATGCCCAAGAGGGTAATTGGTAGAAACAGCATCGCCCAGTCGGGCCATGTTTGGAATTTGCTTTTTGGTTCGTATAGCCCTACCTCGGTGCAATAGTGTATTGAATTTTCAGGTGGTGTCGCTGAGTCAGTTGGGTAGTGCGCCCGTGTTGTAACTTGTTGGCCATCAGTAACAGTGGATGTACACGTAAGTTGCCCTTGAACAGTATCATACACTATAAGAGTGATGGTTTCCGTCAATGTAACCGGTTTCGGGGGCAAGGTCGATATAGGCGTAAATGTAGTCGGTTGCGGGGGAAAGGTCGTAGTCTGGGCTGCGCCGATTCTTGGGATAGAAGCGCGTTGCTTAGATAATGTCAAGCCTGTGGCTGGATCCCAGAAGTATCGGAGGCTTGGGAAGCTGAGGACCACGTTAAGAATGACTGCGAGAAACACGTCGTTCTGGAAAATGAATCCCAGCATTTTTCTTTCTTCTTATGTCGTAATTTGGGCAGGGTGATGTATGTGGTAATACGTGGTGTTGCTCAGATAGGGTTGCGCGTTCAAAAGAAGATATGTTGATATGTGTGTGACGGTGCAGATATGATGATTTTGTAAAAGGCGTATGGGTGTTTGAGACTTGTTGTCTGGTATTTGACAAAGAGAGTGCGGAACACAATGTCTCACGAACAATAAGCAAAACAACAGAATGAGAGACAAAATTACAGTGAATAGACACCAGTTTGAACAACAACAAAGTGAATGTGAGGTGAAGGGAAGCTCGCACAATCATCCATGGTGACCTGTTTACGTCCATAGTCTTCCTCCTTCAGCACTTGTTTGCATAGTGTATCTTGAAGCCTTTGACGAGCCATAGTTTACTAGCGCTACGGTGGTTTTCCGGGGGCGACGGGTACAGCCGGTGGTTTGCGACCCGAGCCGACATAACAAAGACGTCCCAGTACACAGTCTTGTTGATTTCACTGCTAGCTTGGTTTGTAGTAGACGCGACATGTGGAGTGTAAGGCAGATGGAGGTATCGAGAATGAACCTAGGGGTTCTCGTACGAAGCAACACGTGCTGACACCTCCGAGATTGAGCGGCGTGGTATCAGATACTCGTTCTAATGTGATTCAGCACTCAGAAGTTAAGCTGCATGCGAAAGTGAAGGCGGCGTAAGTCGACGAAGGCGCGGAGGATTTCTCCACATGGCGCTAAGCCCCACTGTGGACTAGCGTTGAATCGTGCACCCCAGTGCGATTCGTGTTGGAACCATCACACGACATCACACAACACCACATCAAGCTGCACGATGACGGCAGACTCATGATCGGCTTCACCTTGTGCAGTCTTGTCGATCTTATAGACATGAGGCTCTCAACTTTGTCACAACATCCAGTCTCATCATGCCCCCCCCGCCAATGGACACAAGCACCTCGAACAAGGGTGATACACGCCTCCAGGGCTCAGCATCCTTTTCGCGTATACCAGAGATTATCAGCGATACCTGCTTTGCCATGAGGTATTTCTATTAGCATTGTTAACGTGGTCTTGCCCAGCCATAGAGATCCGGGACCCCAGTGCATCAGTCCACATCGCATATTGCTTGCCTAATTGGGGTATGTTAACCCGCCCACAAAAAATCTCTCCACACGGCACTGTGCATCCGTGTTGAATAAAGATTGACAAAGTACCAGAACATGGCACCAGCAGTCCCGGTCTTGAGACCCTTAACCTGGGGTAAGGCGAGCTTGGTGCCTATCGCCCGTTTACTCCACTTCTGTGTGATGAATCCGCGGCCCTTCTAGTCAGGATTTCGTTAGTTACAGTCGCCACGGGCTGCTTATCGTAAAATAACTCTTTCTCGATCCTTCAGGAGATTGGCCTGCCTGGAAAGACATACCAATCTGTAATAGTCTAGCCGCATACCCGCTCTCTGGTGCGTACTAAAGAGCTGGGGGACACGAGACCGCGGCTGTTTTTCGGACGGCCTTGATTTCCCTTGCTACTTGCGGTTCCTCAAAGTTGCTTCCTCCGCCTTCCGGTTTAATGCGCAATTCATACTTCAATATGGCACCAACAGCTTCAGCGACAGCAGCGTTACCTACATTGACCCAAAGCGGTGCGCGAGTCGCTCTGCAAGCAGCAGAGCAACATGCCATTGAAGTTGGTGTACCAATGTACGACCCCTCTTTTTCATTAAACACATGACTTTTGCGGAGTAGAGCTGACCACCGATCAGGAGCATCGCCGTGGTTGACGCGCACACTCATCTCCTGTCGTTCACACGCATGGATGGCGCCAAGATTACCTCCATAAATACTGCCATGGACATGGCTTTTACCGCCGCCGGAAACCGAATTCCCACGTCCGCATACCAAGAAACACCATGGCCAGGCAGCGCCACATCTGGCATTGGCAATACTATCTCAGGGCGCTTCACTACACTGGGTGGTGGCGTACCCATTCTGTCAGTAGAGGGCGACATACTTGGCGCGATTGGCTGCTCGACGGGCACAAGCATGCAGGATGAGGCTGCGGCGAAAGCGGGGCGAGACGCAGTGCTTGAACTCATCAGGAAAGAGAAGGAAGCCGAAGAGGCAAGACTGCACGAGGAGAGGCAGGCCGTGCTTGCGTTGTGGAAGGAAAAGGAAGAGGAGGTTGGTAATCTGCGAGAGGAACTCGAGGTCATGGACCGCAGCAGCAAAAGAATGAGGTTCGACGGTGGCCGATCAGGCAGCGCAAGCGTCGCCGGAAGTCTAGCGGGCAGAAGGTTGAGCACACAAGGTGGACTGGCACCAGATACGCCGCCCGACGAGATTGAGCTGCATCCCAGTTTTGTTGGTGAGGTTTCTGTCGGACGGTACTAAGCTACACGTTTTTGGTTGCCTGAATTTTGGCGTTTTGGCGATGACGATGTCACGATTTCACGACTCTGTTTTCCACAAGGGGCATGGCGTTTTTAAATTCACAAAGCACATGCTTGGGCCTGCAATAATTACTGGCGAAAATTAGGTGGTAGTTTGTTGTTCGTGCATGGGAGGCGCGCGCTCGCTCTAATCTGTAGACAGTACATACGTTACATATCCAGCCGGTTTCCACATGAGGTCTTGTTAGCTCGCATGATCCACCCATGGGTGTCTAGCCACCGTGGTAGTGTCGCGTGTTGCGTTGCCATTTCAAGTCCTTTGCTCCGTCCTGGGCATTGGAAGCTCAATGATGATCACTGCTATAACCCCTTTCTCAGCCGAGCGTGCATGATCGTGCAGAATCTGGGCTTTCAGTTCTAGACGTCGCGTTTCTCTTTGTAGTATATCTATCCTTACTCTTACAGTTGTAGTCTCCTGGTGTAACATTGCTTAAGAAGGTTGGATAGGACAGCCATCCCCTTGGCACTCGTATCCGTCTACTCTAACTCAACTTCAAGCGAGTATTCAAAATCTAAAGGCCTTACTTCATGTATTTAGGAACTTTCACGCCTCATGGACCACCTTTAATTTGGGGCCATAGATGCATTTTGAGATAGGTGTCTCGTGAAGCATGAGTGCTTCTGGATAGACAGGTACACAGTTTCTTCTGGAAAGAGCATGTTCGTGTTGCTCAGTGTCACAACGAGTATTCAGAAACGGATCTCGACACATGTATACATATTTCAGTTCTCAGTCTGACTTACCAAATCAGCCCGAAAATGCCAACAGTGTCAAGCGTGCAGTATCACCTCTTCGCCTGTTTCCATTACGGACGGCCATGGCGAGTTCCCTCTTGATGTAGCCGCTATAATAGACTCTTCTGTAACTACCGCATTCTAATCAAACAAAGCAAGGAAAGAGCTACGAATGGTTGACGACCAGGTACTGCGACAAAGAGTCCTCGAGTAAATCACTGAACAGTGACATGACCATGAATATCCGCTCAACCATCACTTGAAGGAACTTTCAACAGCACACCCACCAACACCCATTGCTAAACCACCGATCGAAATCATCACTAGGCCGCAGTTCATGTACAAACGCCACTTTCCAAACACCCAAACACCCGAATACCTTTCCCCCCCCCCTTCAATCGCAACATCACTGCTATCAAGATACCACCTACCCACTCCAAAAAAAACACCCCCAAGCACCATTCATTCCCCCTCTCCCCCTCCCTCCCGATACCTCAGCGCCACTCGCCAACGCATCCCCTCGCTTTCCAAGACACAACCCGGAAATTGGGCGCGTAGACCCTCGGACCAATCCGCAGAGCGCAATTCCCCGCCACGAGGGCAGTCCCTCGCTTGATAAGATTACAGGGAAGCTACTTATCGTATGATTACGCGGCGCGCGCAAAGATGCAGGTGTAAGAAGTAAACATGGTTTATTAGTATTGCTTGCTTTTGAGCGGGGGAAGGGAGCGTGTGTGGTTCAGCTGTATGCAGGTGGGGGGGAGGAAAAAAAAAGGAAAAGGGTTGGGGGGGGAGGGTTCGATTTTGCAATACCGTGGTATAAGAATTAGTGGGGTATGCAGTGAGGAAAGAGAGATGGAGATGTCATGATAATCTGAATCGATGGGGTATGTGAGATTTGAATATGGAGACGAAACAGGCTCAAGTCACAAAGCACATGGAGAGAGAGAGAGAGTCGAAGACCATCCATTTGCATACCAGCAAAAGATCAAGTTTTTCTGAATTTTTCCCAGGTCATATCATAATCATATCGTGTACCGTCGTGAATCCAAACCCCCCCTTCAAAGAAAAAAAGACATCCAATCCCGCAAAGCATGCTGAGTGGTAATCAAACCGTTGCTCAGACCCTGTCTAGCCCTAATACATATATATCATGATAGAATCGAAGAAAGAAAAAAGAAGCGATCGCGATCGCGATCAAGAAGAAGAAGACAACAAAAAAACAAAAGCGTCAACGCCCGCAAGCATCCCCGATGCGCGTTATAGTCGTACTCTCGAATAAGCCCCTAACCCTCAAGGTCAATAGCCACACGCCCAGCGACACTCCTCTTGATCGAGTCCTCGCCAGAGCAAACGGTCATGTAGAGATCGACATCGGTAGAAGGGCAGTCAAAGACGGGCTCCTTGATGCCGAGCTTGATGAGCGGGGTATCAACATAGTAGGCCTGGGTAGGACAATAATCGCCAGCAGCACAGTCTGCAGCGCCGCACTGGTCATTGGAGCCGCGCATAGCCAGGCCCTCAGCGTGGCCGGGGCAGGCAGAGGCGGAGTCGCCCTCGGCGCAGTTGACAAAGGAGATGTCGTACCAGACCTTGCCGCCGGCGATAGAGTACTCGAATTGCGTGTGCTCGCCGTTCTGGATGCTGTCGGTTGAGGAGATCTTGAGGGAAGTGCCCGTGTTGTAGAGGACCTCAGTGTATTGGGTGCGGGCGGGCACGAGGGTGCAGGGGGTTTGGTGCGAGCTGCCGACAGAGGAGACCCAGATGTCGTAGGAGCAGCGGTTGGTGAGGATGGCGTTACCGGCGAGGGTGAGGCCGGCGTTGAGGGCCATGAGGAGGGTGGTCTTGGAGAACATGGTGAGAGTTTTTTTGGTGGGTTTGACGTGGAGTCGGTGGGTGGAAGTCACGTGGAAGTGAGTGAGAGAGAGATCAACTCAAAGGATATCCTGGTTCGTAGTCGAAACGGAGGACGAATGAGTGCTGGTATGTGGATCTTCGGGTTGAAGAAGAGAGTGTGGGATTTTTTGCGTGTTGGTGTGCCGGAGGGACTGTAAGGGAAGCTGTCAAAGCCTCTTGGGGAGAACAAGGAATGTGTTGCCGAAGGCGACGGGGGAAAAGAATGTTGAACAGTGTTCGGAATTTCAAAGGGTAAGAATCGATGGCAATCCTCGCTCTTATATAAAGGAAAGTATCTACGGCGAAGGATTGGACTAAGACTAGCCTCAGCCCCCAATACTCAGTGACCCCCCTCCCGCCTTAGGCAGCGCCCGCGAATTACGTGAAAGGTTGAGGACAGAAAAAAAACTTTGTCCAAGTCCGGCGACGGCGGCAACGGAAGCGTTTTCGCGGTGCAGTAGTGCTTTCAGCGCTTCAACGTGGACAGTGGAGACGGCATTGTAGGGCTGTGGTTGGTCAGGTACCAGGGTGGCGGCACTTAGCCTAGACGTATGATGTAAGGAGATGCATGGGCCTAGAATGTTGGGTTCCGGGTTTTTCGCATGTTTCTTTTTCATCTGACGGTACCTTTGTGCTGGTGGCGCGAACTAAAGCAAGGGACGCAATGGAATGTGTCGTGGCTATGCTTAGCTGGGCCTGGCCTACCAAATATTTTTCTTCTTGATGGCATTCGGGGTCTCTTCCCTTGGGAAAACGGATCCCTTCCTCCCAGCAAACTCAATGTGTGGAAACGTCGGGCAGTGTACGGGCGAGGGCTTATATCGCCCGATTTGTGCTAGCCGAGCTGCATGCCCTGTGTATGCCCTGGAGCTCCACGGTGCTAGCAGCAGGGCTAGAGGGGCCCAGGTGATGATGTAGGGATTACAGCGCCCGGTGGTGTAGCGTCCTGCGGCGGACTTGTCGCATGCAAGGCAAGAAAGGGTGTGGGTTGGAGAGCCAGGCAGACCTGTCCACGTTGCTAGCGAGGCGGAGAAGCCATGGTCGGCAGCTTGGACGCGGGAATATTATCGATGTTATCAATATTGCGCGGCGGGGCAGCCAGGGGAGCGGTGACTGGAGGCGGGCGTGGATTTGCCACGTACCTGAATGATGGCCTTGTTGCAGCCGTTGGGGGCGCAGGATGCGTGAACGGGTGTGCGGGTACCTGGCGCGGCACACGGTACCTGGACATGCCAAGGCCCCATTGCAGCTGCATCCAGCCGTCGCCATTCGCCCTTCGCCATCCGCCGGCAAGGGTCAACATGTTGTGAATCGTCCCCATCCGGCTTCTTATCGCTCTTGTATCTTCGCTGCCCGGTGCTGCATATTCAACGAGGCTCCAAGTCGACGCCCACTGCGGCGGCGGCGTCTGAAGTGTCATCAGCGGCATACCTACCCAACCACCACCTACCTGCCTGTCGGCACATACTAGACGCCCTTGCAACCCCACGAGCACGCCCATTGGGCCGCAGCTGAACCAACACTCGACTGCGGAGCCGATGGAGAGCAGAGAATTTTCGTGGTCCACGTCTCCAGTCTGGGCCGGGCTGCACGCGTCATAGTGCGAGTTCCGCGACGGGCTGAGTGCACCACCACTTGGCCTTCACCTTTTGAGCAAGACTTGATGTCACCCCATCCCGCCTACGCAACCAGTCAAGCCTAGGACCGCTTCCCCAAGGACCGAATGCATGTGAAACAAGACAAGACACGGAGAACCTGTCAACCACGCCGGCACCCTCACGGAGTCAGAGCCGTACTTACGCGCTGCACCATGGCGCCAGTGAGGATGCGCCACTCCGGCCAGCTACTACTATCTAATCGATAGGAGTTTTTTTTTCTCCACGTTTGTTTGATGTCCATGACGCTCGGCCATCAGCGCCATTTGCTGCGTAAGCATCTTGCATCCACATCCGCGCAAACAATCGGCTACAATCCTCCCGTCTGCCGCGGAAGCGGGGAAACATGTTCACATACGCTGCGGCAACGGATGCGGCATGTATGCGTGTCCATGTTCGTAGTGTGTATTCGTGGCTGGCAGTAGGTAAGACTTGACAAAGCAACATCTGACAAAGGGACACACAACCAGAGACCAACAAAAGAGCGGCGCATCCCAATGGCGCTGTTATACACATGTGCCAGGTCCTTAAGTATCTATACCACGTCTGATCAACAAAGCCTTTGACTGCAGATGCGGTGGGCCTGGTGATGTAGTGTTGCAGTCAGGCTCTTTTCCGACTTCGCAGTATTGTGGAATGGACGCGCAAGACATGCGGCCTCGAATGCATCCAGACCACGACGTTGCGTTTCACTCCAGCTTGTGGCCTGAGGATCGGGACGCAGTTGGCGCTTCATCTGTGGCTAGCCCGACTATGAACAAACAGACTGGTGACGCAACAGAGCGGGCGAGAAATTAGACAGGATTAAGGCGCCTCTCCGCTATACCCTCATTACTTGCAGCGGTAATTTTGCAACACATCGCGTTAGGGCAAAACTGGCAGTAGAGCAATAACGAGAAATTTCAACCCCGGCCGTAGGGTGATTGCTTACAATGCGGCTCATCAAGCTCAGCCCGTGCATACTCATTGCACGTCCGAGTACTCATGCTCGATGACCAATGCCAAACAAAAAAAAACTCCATCGGCTTAGATGCCCAGGTAGACTCGGACGAGGCAGGTGTCTAGGCATAAGAAAACGGTTGGTGATACAGGGGGGACGCCTCGGAACACGAGTACCATGAGACGCTGACGATGGCGGGTGTCGCCCACGACCACACGATCCACTGCCATGGCGGAAGGATGCTGCTGTGGCGGGAAGCCTGCATGTTTCCCCTCCTTCATGGTTGAGCGTTACAAACGGGATCTACGTTGGTTTTTTCTTCTATCCGTTGTTTCGTAACTAGACCCTCCCGTCTGCGATTAGTCGCCATAACCCCCTCCCTTTGACAACACTTGCTTCGCCAGTCTCGAATCTTCAAACTGCCAGAACAAAGCCTCATTGTCGACTGTTTTCGGTCAAAGGAACGGAGCAACTGTGCACCACTGGCGGCCGAGCTGTCTGGTTCTGCGCCCCAGTGCACAAAGTTTCTGTACGAAGGCCCGGCGAGCAAGCCACAGCTGTGTGAGGGGACTAAGGAAATATCTGAAACGTAGCCCGGTGAGAACACCCCTACCCGCCAGGGGACACGTGCGCACTGGCAACCGTGTCTACGTCTTGCCGCTCCTGGGCTAGTCTTCAGCCTGGAATGCCATGGCGGGTGGTTTTATGAGAGCCCAGCGCGCCCAGCCCAATCATTGGACGTGCTACCCCTGACCTTGGCCATGGCCAGCCGCGACGTCGACAATCACACTCGAAGCGCCAGGCAAGCAAAGCGAATACAGCACAAAACCACTTTTGTCTGCCGTGTGATGCGGATGGCCTGCAGCTGCCGTAAGAAAAGCGCTTGATAGAGACACGAGGTTTGGCCCTGTCAGCCAATACTGGCGCGCCGTGCATCGGACTCCAAAACCCCCCTGGTCACCCGCGTGGTCTTAGGTCGCTCTAGGGGATGATGAAATGAAAGGATCCGAGCGGCGAGGTTGGCAGCAAAGATCCGCCTAAGACGCTCTAGCTCCAGGCATTGGCAAATCTGCGGAGGGGACGGGGCCGTGGGCGGACCTGCGATGGCGCTCGTTCTCATTTCCAGGCTCATACCCGCTGCACAGCGCCCGTTCGCTACCTTAGCGCCATGTTGTATAAATGTAGTCTGTCCCCTCATTGTATCCAGCCCTTCCTTTGATACCCCAGGTCTGCGACTTCCAGGTTCGACGCCAGTCTTTCAGTCTATATACATTGTCAGTCTTTGACACCACGTTCTCTACCGCCCTACGGCATAACCACGCTCTCTTCGCAAACATATAACCAAAAAACCTCGTCGACCGTCGAACCCTTTTTGTCAATTCCCCCCAAGTTCAGACCTATCCAGTCAAAATCAAATCACACAAATCTACAAACATGCGCTCCTCCATCGCCATCTCCATCGCCGCCCTCGCTGGCGCTGCGCTCGCCGCTCCCTCCTACCCAGCTGCCAACCCCAACGTTGAGGTTGTCGTCGAGCACGTAGTCCACACTGTCTACGTCACCGAGGGCTCCCCCGAGGCCACTCCATGCCCCTCATCCACTCCTGCCGCTACTCCTGCTCCAGCTGCTACTCCCGCTCCTGAGACTTACCCGGCTGAGCAGCCCGCTCCCGCTCCCTCCACCTTCTCATCTGTTGTCTACGTTGAGGCTACCCCCAGCCCCTCCCCAGAGCCGCCTGTTGAGCAACCGGAGGCAGAGCCAACCCCTACTCCCACTCCTACTCCCGAGCCAACTCCTACCCCTTCACCTTCTCCCTCCCCAGCTCCTTCCACTGGAGGCTACATGGATGTCGTCAACGAATGGCGCGCCAAGCTCGGCCTCAGCCAGCTCGAGTACTCTACTGAGCTCGAGTCCAACGCTCTCCAGGTCGTCACCATGGACAACGGTGTCATGGTGCACCACCTCTTGGAGAACACCTTAGCCCAGGTCCTCGCTCCCGGCCAGCCCGACAAGTTCGAGTACGTCTTCGTCGGTGGATGGCTCTGCGAGATGCCCAACCTTCCTGGCCTCGGCGATGCATGCCAACAGTTCTCCCAGGGCTGGGACTACGAGGGTCAGACTGGCCACGCCGAGATTCTCACCTCGCCCAACTACTCCAAGATTGGTTGCGCCAACAAAGTGGGTCTCTGGTGCTGCGATCTCGCTTAGGCAGCATGATGCCTTTCATGAGACAAGAGAAGGGGATTCTAATGCCTCTTCTTGGGTGGTTCTTCGATTCTTTTCTACTTTAGGTGACAGGGCGGCTTGGAGACCCAAACAACACGCAATGCGTAGCTTTTTATCAATTGCGCTGGTTCGAAACAATATTTTTTCTTCTCCTTTGTATCTGTACATGGTACTTGGTCTGGTTTTATCGTTCCCTGCTTCACTCTAGGGGCGCAGTACTTGCAAGCGTTTTTAACTCTCTCTTAGTATCTACTGCGAATTACAGATTTACGAATTCACGAGCCAACCCTTTGCTTTTGCCTTTTATTCGCGCCTGTGCCTGGCCCTATTCGTTGTGATATTAACAGCAGCATGTTATGGACCCTTTTTTCCCGCCCTGCTTCTACCCGACTACTAACCAACCAGCACACATCGATTTAGGGGGTTCTGACGTTACATGCAGTTAGAACCAAACTTTACACCCTGCCGCTAGTATGCGCCACACTGCCGATCCCCTTTTCCCTTGTTCCTGAACACACGCACACACACACAAACAATGACGCGAGCAAGACAACCCCAAAAAAAACGCCGCAGGACAAATGAGAACCAATTCCGAAAAAAAAATCGCAGCTGACGGAAGAGAGGAAGAGAAGGGGGTAGGGGGCGGGCAAACACTCAGTCTCTAGTCAGCTCTCGCCGCACGCGCGAAAGCGCGCAACGGAGATGACCTTTCCCTCGTATTCGGGCGTGCAGCCACGCTGTCCCCCCCTGGTACCTGCGCCCGTGTGTGCGTGGTGTGTGCCTGCCAAGTACGCGTTCCTGGCCCTAGTGTTGTGTGATCCATTCCGTTTTTTTCTTTCCACGGTCAAGCTACGGCCCCCCCCCCCTTCTTCCCNCCCCGGCGCCGTCTCTCTTGTCCCCCCCGTCGGATTGATCAATGGAATTCTAGAATCGATGCAAAATGGCTGGGCTGGCTTCGCTCGCGCTCCGTTTTTTTTTTGGCGGCAAAGATTTTATTTTGGGCATGACTTGGCAATGTGTGTATGTGTGTTGCGGCGGCGGCGGCCCCCGCGACTTTTGTTAAATCAGGAACTCACGATTTGGGTCCGATTGATGGTGTGTGGCTTGTATAGTTACGCACACGCCCTTTTTGATGCTTTCGATAAGGGTAGCTGATGGGACGTAGCATGCGGGTTGGAGAGAGAGAGAATTAAACTTTGGGATGCGCACAGCTCTCTCTCTCTCTCTCTCTCTCTCTCTCTCTCTCTCTCTCTTTCTGATGCAACCTTCCGGTGATGGGCTTGTGGCAATGCCAAAGAGAGAGAGAAAGAGGGTCTGTGTTGGGACTTTCGGCATTCTGCATTGTAACACGCAACCTTCCGTTTGCCTCGCAGGGAAGATTCCAACATCGCCTTACTGTGTACTAACTAGAATCGTTATCCGTCGCGGTATCTCTGGCCCTTTGCCGGAGAACCCGGGATTCACTCTCGGCTGAGCGCTTTTTTCTCTCTCCCCTGGGTCTGCGAAGAAAGTGGGCAATCACGGGCTACGTGTGTACTGTATGTGTGGGCAACGTGGGGGGTGGGGGGAAGGCGCATGAAGAAGAAAAGAAAAGAATGGCGTTTGTTCCCACCGGGGAAGCGCAAAAAAGAATGGACTTTTTGCCAACGGCGTCCCTTGTCTCGCTTCCACACACACACACACACACACACACACACACACACACACACACACACACACACCCCCATCACTCCCCATAACGATTAATCAAAATATCCCGCTTTTTTTGTCGCTTCCCCGACATTACACACATCTCGTTTAACACATGGTGATACATTATCAGTCTTCTATTATAGCCTCCATGTTCATCAAAAGAGTCACGCAAGATGAGATGACCACCCAGGGGAAAAAATAGAAGTATTTGATATCATTTACAGGTTACGGAACGCATCGGGATGTTGAGGCTGCACATCGTAATTTCCCGCCGATATATGTGTTGTTCTGTATGGATGCGCCGGTTAGGGCCGCCCGTCGCCGCCTGGTACCAACATTTTTTTGTTTACTCTTGGATGGGGTGGTTTATCGGGTTCGGTGATTTCGCGGCCAGGTGGGTCTACAAAGTGTTTGTTATCGAGGAAGGGCCCAGGTTCATGAGTTCTGGACTTTTTCTGGGTCTTCTTTTCTGGATCCATTTTCTATAGGATTTTTTTTTGTTTGGAGAAGTTGGTAGGCGTTGTGTGTATGTGAATTCAGCCGCGACGAAAGAAAGTGGAGAGGGGGGGCGAAGGTTAGGCTTCCTATTGCTTTGATTGCTTTGGGCTTCCAGTCTTTTTTGGGGGCCATGTAACGTCTGCCACATGGGCGGCCTGGTGCAGACATTTTTTTTATCTACTACTCAGTCGAGGTGTTACCTCCGAGAGGGCCAATCTCCATTGCTGTGTGTTGGCATTACATGGAGCGGCTGGGCAGTTGGGCGGTCGCGCGCTTGCAAGTACACCTACGGACGTACGTACGCAAGAGAAGTTGCTAAGAGTTAGTACTAAGAGAGCCTAGAAGAAGTCGTCTCTGTGGGCGCCCCCCACCGCTAACACAAGCATGGTGGTGCCTGAGGAGGATGCCATCCAACGATCGATCGCGATTCGCAGGCAAATGTAACAGAAGGCGCCCGCACGTGAAGATTGGCGATTCATGGTTAGTAGTAGCAGATAAGCCCTGGTGCACAGTGCTCTCCGGGTCTGGACGACGTTCGGTTGTTGGTCCAAACACGCTGCACGCATGCTCCTCTTTCGTGGTCCCGACTTTTGCAGGCGCCGGCTCCCGTATCCGAGAATAACTGGGCGGGCGCCGGACGGACATCCCCAAGCCACAGCGCTCATGTACCGGCGGTATCAAAGCGCAACGTTTTGCCCGTTGGCGTCTTTCTCTCCTTTGTACCTGTGCTGACGTACTTGCTATAATGAAACAAGCAAGCATATAGCAGTTGGTGCGCTTCCAACGCCTACCGCAGCTTACCGACGCTAAAAAAGCACAATCGTCGACTTAGCTGCTACTACGTAGGTTGCTCCGTGAACTTTCTTGCTGCCATGGTCTTCCCTACCTATGCACAAGTATCATTGCACGGCCTGTCGCTTCACCAACTTTGGCGAAGACATTGTTGAGGTGCGCGGTTCATGTCATTTTCATTCATACGATGATACACCGGGGCTGTACCGAGGACGTCACCATCGGTTTTCTTGACTCGGGGAAACCCTAGATATAGCTGGTGGAATAATTCTCCGCGCCATGGAACATTCGTGATCGCCCGTCAAAAGTACTAGGTTGGTGTGTCCGGGGAACTGCAAGATGCGGGACGTCAAGATTAACAGTTTGTAATGAAAATTTCCTGTTTAGGCAGTTGCACTCAGGTAGACAGGATGTGTGAAACGATGATCCTTGATCATAGTCGGTGTGTTACGAGATGCTCGACAACGACTCCGCCGTATACGTAAGTACTGTCTCCGCTGAAGTCGGTGTGCGAGGCGTGTCGCTGAGCTGAGAAGTCACGGTCGAGCGGTGTGCCATGGGTGCATGAGATGCCTTTTGTTTTTCCATTTGCATCTTGGCCCTCTCTTGTGTGGCTGTTTTGAGTTTCAGGTAAAGAGGGTGTAAGTTATTGGTCACCAGCGATGCTGGCACAAGCGCCGGTATGTGTATTCTCTCGCCTCGAGAAGATGTAGAGGTATTCACAGACTTGGAATTCGTGGACCAATGTATTCTTCGGTTGATGTGATTACCTGCATATGGTGTGAAAATTGACTTTGGCTTGTACGATTAGTTGAAACAAGGTGGACAGGGCGAGCCGGTTGGCTGGGTGCTACACTAATTCACAACACCAAGCAGAAACCTAGACATCCGGAACATAGAAGAAACAGAATGCAGAAAAATAGCATTGAACGTAACGATGCTGTCTCAGTCGAATTGTCGAGATCCGAAGTATGCACGACGACATGATCAACCTGAGAAACTAACAAACCAGCCTTGTGTTCTCATGAAGTCTAAGTCCAACACCCAACCTACTTTCTCCTCTCTTCTCTTTGCAAGCAAACATCGCCATTCCCTTGAACCCCCAAATTCTCGAAACTACAAATCCCATCACTCTCTCAAACCACAACCAATATGCCTTCCTTCCCCCCGAGAGTACCTTGATATCACCGAGTAGACCAACAAGGTCCTCACCACCACCATACACCAACCACTCGCCACCACACCCGCCACACGCACAATAGAATCTAAATTTTTCGTGATCCAAGTTTGACAAGAGATAGAAAAACTTGTGTTCTCAACTCTGCCACCAACCCAAACGAAAACGTGAAAGATAAACGCAAGCCGCAAAAGCGATACTACCGCAAACATGTCCCACGAATCCGTCTGGTACTCGCGCCCCCGCACATACGGTAAAGGATCAATCGGCTGGTAAGCATCTATCTATCTCTCCTCTCCCTCATCACACCGCACGTCCTCAACTCACCCACTCTCTCTTTGGCTTGGAAGGATCAAGAAATGGCTAATAGTGGATGGATGCCATGCAGTGTCGTCACGGGCTCGAGGAAGAAATCCGGCATCATCCGCAAATACGGGCTCAACATGAGTCGACAGGCTTTTCGGGAGAAGGCGCAGGATATTGGGTTTGTCAAGGTATGTTCTAGTTGGTGAGATGATGGGGGGGGAAGAGGCAAAAGCTGATGGCTGGGGTAGTATCGATGAGCTTGGATTCTAAGAAGAATAAGTGGTCACGATGGGGAGGAGTGTGGAGGATGATGGATCAAGGCAATTCATGGTTTCATTGGGGAAAAGAGTGTACCATTTGAATGCAAGGTGTGTGTGCAGAGAGACTATTGATATCCGTGTTTATCCCTCCGTGTACATGTTCAATGTACGCATTCCTTCCCTGGACGATTTCTCTTTCGATATCTGTGAACCGTGTCTATGCGAAACCCCAAGCTAAGTGTAGCAAGATTAGAAGCTAGAAATATGTAATCTATTGAATTTCCTTGAGAGGTCGCGGAGAGTGCGAAACCCGCGGAGGGGCCCGCTGGGGTTTGCCAGGCCGACGGGTTGCTGCGCAGTCATGCCGCCGAGTGATCTCTAGGCTTTTCGCGAACAATGCCTTGCTTAATCTTTCCGCCAGCGGCAATGACCATCGCTACTGGCGGGATAGATCCTCCGCCGCATATCTGAAGTGTTGAATAAAGAAAAGAGCTATAAATCAACTTATCAGCATCTCTTCGTACTTAAAGACTACTCAGGTGTGCTATTTTGACTCAACAATATTCAGTTGTATGTTTATCTGGTATTCATGTCAATCAAACTGCCGCGATATGGGCTTCCAGTTAAACTGACATGCGAATTTTTTTTAAAAGATGAGCCTATGTTCATCGGCTTTTGTTATACCACATTTATTTTGAACAGACCGCTTCAATATTCCGACAGTATCGTTCTCATGGCCATGGATTGTTAGCCAATCTTCATCCAATGCTCGCACGTAGAAAATGGAGGCTCTTTCGGTATCCTTGGGATTTACGAAAACTTCCGATGGGGCGTTGTGCCGCGGGCGGTGGGTACAGGACTCGTGTTGCACGGGCAATCTCAAATTGAACACCATCTACGACATCTTTGCCAGTAAGCTGCGATTCAACCAAGTAGCCATTTTTTGGGAGTCGAGAGGTAATGTTAGGAATGAGGGGCCAGAACAAGAAGTACTGTGAGGTAAATTTGTAGCCGAAAGAGATATGGCGAGCAGACAAGGGAGAAACAGCAAGAGAAACAAACACAACACAAGAGAAAAGACAGGAGAGACACAAGAGAGAAACAACAAGAAAAAATATAGATCAAAGTAGACATAACAAAACAAAAGTAAAAGGTATCCAAAACTGTCTCACAGCCACACGCTATCGCACCACTAATCGCATCTTCTACTCCTTTCCTCGTCCTCACTCTAGCACAGCGAGAGAACTTTTCGAGTGAAGACTCCTATTACTATGTATTTTCTATTTCTAAACTCCCTGCGCTATGCAAACAATGCAAATGTCCCAAACCCACCCTCGCAATTTAAAGTAAACACCCCTCACAACAACCCCTTCCCCTCCTCCACGCTCCTCAGACTCTTCTCACAATCCCCACAATACCCCTTCACCCACTCCTCCACCTGGTTCCCCTTGCCCTGCCTCGCTGCGCTCTCGAGCAGCTTCCCGACTTTACTGCACTTGTGCGTCTCATCAAGGAGCCAGTTTGCGTACTCTGCTTCTACGACTTCCTTTTCAATGCGGTTGACGACGCGCAGAGCGACGAGGAGGTCGTGGCGGTGTGATCCGAGATTTTGGCGTGTGCGGTACAGACGCTGTGTACTTTGAGTTGGGGTTTTAAAAAATGTGTGGGAGGGGTTTGTGGAAAAGGGGTCGTGGAGGAGTTTGGTGAAGGTTTGGTGGCTGGGATAGAAGTTAGCTCGAGTCTATATGTAAAGGAATATGTGGGCAACGTACCATCTGTTGTCAGCATTAGGGATAGGCGTTGATATCTTGATACTGGTGGCGTTCGGGTTGAGGAATGCGTCCTCAATGTCGCGAATGTAGATTGAGCGTGTCATGCTGGTTGATGGGCCGACTCCCAGTCGCACCATGTAGTTTGCGGCGCCTCGTTCGTGCCACCACGTCCAACTGTCTCGTGAAGTGTAAAATAAGTTTACTCCGCCGCTGAAGAGTAAGAGAGCAAAGAGCAAGGTGTGTGCTGAAATGACCTTGCCTAGGCCAGTGCCTATTGCCAGTACCCAGCTCATGCCAGTTGAGATGACACTGATGACAATGTTGCCGATAAGCTGCGCAACGAAAGACCCCGTCGTTTGTGGTTGTAGCTTGAACTTTCGAGGTCGGTTGGGTGGCGGAATGTCTTGTGCATCCAGCTGTACAGCTTGCGTTTGCGCACCAATCTGGCCAAAGATATTGACAACCTTGTTGGTATTCCTATTGTGGCCAAGCCTTGCGACCTGGTCGTTGACCACATCCACAAGATCTTGTGCCTCAAGCTCAAGGTCCTGTAAAGCTTGGCGCTCAATAAGCTTCTTTGCGAACCGCGGGTTGCGTTTCCAGTCCACTTTTGTATGGATAGCGAGCTTGCATCGTGCTTTCGAGACGTGCGTGACGACAATCTTACTAACCAATACAAAGCGCTCGTGACCAGGCAGATACCAGGGGGTCTTCCGGTCAGAAACAACGTAACAGAGGTGATCGTTGAGCACTTCGATTACTTGGTAGTCGTTAATGACGATGGCGCCATTCTTGCCTGGTTGTGCAATCTCGTACTCAAAGTCTCTTCGCTGAAGGCTCTTGTCACTCACGGTCCATGGACCCTGCACAACACGCGACGCTCTTCGTTCGCGGTACAATAGTTGGAAAACAGCGCTCTTGTCACCAAAAAGGATATGGAACAATCCCTTTGCACTAATTTCGTATTCCTTCTCCACTGCCACCTGCGTCATGCCAGCTGGAGAAAATATTACGGGCTGACTGGGCAACTTGAACTTGGTGACGTTTCTGTTGATATTTGCACCAGATGGTCCAAACAAATTGCCGTCGATGCGCAGACTCGTTTTCATGTTCTTTCCACCATATCCTGGATCAACAGGTGTGTCTGGAGCAACATCTTCCCAACCTTCTTCAGCCGCTAAGTGCTGGCTCTCATCAGTTTCCATCTTAAGCAGCCTCTTGACTGTTTCCTCGAGGCTATGCTCGCCTGAAGCTGCGTTGCGAACAAGGAAATTTAGGCGTCGCAGAAGCAACCTCAAAGGCTCAAGGAACGTCTTGACGGTGAGCCTGGTAGCGCCATCTTTCCTTGCGCCAGGTTTGAAATGGAGGAATAAGAAATCACAGTCCTTGCCAGGTGCAGCAGTGACTTCGTCAACCGAGGACATGCCGATGCCAGTTACGAGAACAAGACCGAGGTGGTTGCTGTAAAAGTAGATGTTCTTGGTTGTGAGGTAAACACGACCCGGAAACTCTTGCAGGTCTGTTGGGTTCCATACTGCACGGAACACCAGAACTACTTTCTCTGACCGTGGTACTGTAGGGAACAGTATGCGAAACTGCGCATCCTGCATACGTAGAGCGAGTGGATAAGAGCTTGGGAATTCATCCTCATCCACCACGTCCCGGTTGGGAGCAGCGGGCATCAGACTACCCATACTAGCTGATTTGCGATGCACTACAACTGTTGATGCACCTCCTACTCCAACTTTATTGTCATCAGGCATGAAGCCAGAAGAGGGGTCTGGTGAACTCGGAGGTCCGACACGAGTGCTGGATTCCTCTTCGCTTAGAATATTTACATACCCCCAATTGACTGAGCCCCATAAGTTGGCCATTAGTCCACCAGGCATGTTGCCCGACCGGCCAGTACCAAGACCTCGCTCGCCGCTCACAGCAACCGCTGCTTTGCTAAGGTTTGTTGGTGCTGGTGGGCCGGCAAGCGTAGAGGGAGCAAGTGTCGTTTCAGGGAGTGTTTGGCCCATGACGAGCCGAGTATCGGGAAGTCCGACTGCAGGCGCTGTAATTTGTCCAACCTGTACAAGATTATGACTAGCTGAAGCAAGACTGGCAGATATGAGGCTGGCAATGCCGCCACTTGCAGAAGAAGGATTGTTTCCGCTAAGCTGAGGGCCGACTGTTGATTTTCGAGTAAGGTCAAGCTTTTCCATAATCCGGGCAGTGTGATCGCGACGACTACCATCACCTTCGAGTCCAGTAGCACGCCTGGTCACGTCAAAACTTCCACGTGTCGCAAGGCCATCAGCACCTGGAGGACCAAGAGTGTCAGGGCGATCTGCATTGGTGGCATCGTCACCAGGAAGACCCACATTGCCTTCAGAAGTCTTTGCGGCAAATTCGGGGGCTACAGGCGGGCTGATGGAGAATGCGGCGTCGATGGAACCAGCACCAGACAGGTCTTTGGATGTATCTTCCAGTGCCTTGCGCTTGGCAACCTCAAAGGCAGAAATCCATTCGGTTATGTCGTTTTGTGTCTCAGCTTGGAGGAGGATGGTGGTGTCCTTTGTCTTTACTTCAAAGCAGAAGCGTCGCTCCTCTGCAAATGCAGGTCGAATACCGCACAGCAACACACCGATCTTCTCAGATTCTTCGACGGCACCGGATCGTGTTCCTTGTGTTAGCCAACCAAAAATGCCATTCTTGACAAAGAACCACCGTCTGACCCAATAAGTCCTGGCAGGTTTGCCGGTGATTGTGCGCTGGAACAGCCAGCCCTGCTTTTCTGCCTTTTCACTTCCAGGGTCTGGTTTGGCTGGCGATTGTAAATTGGCAGTCGAGGTTGCTGTGCCAAGGTAAGGAACAGTCGAAGCAGCGTACGAATCCAGATCCCGTGACGGTCGTGAGTTTACTTCAGCAGCCGCCTCGATCTGCTGTCGCGCAAGATGCAGTTCTCTCTTGAAGACACGCTCGCCGTTTTCCATTTCCTTGCTCCAGCCACGCACGCGCTCAACATCCGACGTCCAATTGGTAAAGCTCTTTGCAGACGATTCGGTCCCGGACTTCATCTCACGCCACTGCTCGTGCACAATCTTGACGAGTAATTTGTCCAGAGTCAAGCGTACCTGAGGCGCCAGGACACAGAAGTTCATACTGGCTTGGAGGTATGCTCGCCGAGCCTCATGCAGCTGGAAAGCATCCTCTCTCAGTGACGAAGCCTCTTTTGACTTGATCTGCCCTGCATACCGTGCGATGGCTATATCGAAGATGCGCTGAGTGGAGTCTAGATTCTTGCGGGCTTCCTTCAACACGCGCAAATCATTGGAGAGGAAGGCTCGCAATGGCTCGCACATGGTCGTCTCGGCGCGCTTCATGCAACGCAGCGCGCTGTTCCAATATTCGCGCGCCCCCTCGCCAAAGCGCTTGAGGGCCAGGACTGTGTAATCATGGTCGACGACAGCTTCAGAGAGCTGCAGCGGCGGATGCGAAGTTTGAACATATGTGTCTACAAGGGCCTGCATATTGTTGCATTCGGTTGCAAGCCTCGAGGTGGCGCGGACAAAGGAGTCGAGCCATCTTTCTATAAGTTCGATCTGGTCGCCGTAGTGCACAGCGGTTGCGCGGAAGGTGGGGGAGTCGAGAGCGGCCTCTTTAATTACTACTGGTCTGCATGCTGTAAGTATAATAAGGAGCCCATAGAGGCTCTCGCAACATACATCAAGTCCAGTGGCCTTGATACCGGCTCTACGCTGAGCTGCGGTGGCTCCTCCTCAGCCATGGGTGCGGGCGCTTCCGCTTATATGAAAAAGAAGATTAAGGGGACAGGTATTTACAAAAGACCGGGGCGAAAGTAAACATGGAGGCTATAATACATTGCCAAAGTCATGAGGGGGGAACAGTGTCGCGTGGTGCTGCTTGTCGTCCCGTCCTGATCATGCATGGGCCCGACCATGGGTTCCCTTGGGATGCGGCCGTGGGTCGTCACTGCCGCGGCCAACGTCAGGGTTCATGCGCTAGCACCTGCTCCACCAAAATTTTGTGACCAAGCAAGCCACTCCACCAACACCGACATCAACCTCGAGCGACACCACATGGCGGGCACAAAGGACAAGACCACCACCGGCCGTGCCAAGCGCGAGCTCAACAGCGCCATTGAGCCGCCAGCTAAAAAGGCGAAGCTGCTCGACAACACCGACGACGAGGGCTCCGACAGCGACGACGGCGAGGCATCGCTCAAGATTAACGAGGACTATGCGCGCCGATTCGAGCACAACAAGAAGCGCGCTGAGCAGTTTAGGCGTATGCTGATACCTTATCTATTGTCATTATACCGCTAACTGGATACAGTCGAGGAAAAGTACGGCAAAGACAAGGCCTTCGCCAACGGCGACGATGACGAGTCGGAAGACTCCGAGGATGGCGTAGAAGAAGACGATGCAGCTGATCTACTTGACGAAGACCTCGACGAACAGGTCAATGCTACCCTCCAAGCTCTGCGCGCAAAGGACCCACGCATCTACAACAAGGAAGTCAAGTTCTACCGCGATCCCGAAGAGGGCGATGATGGCGCAGAAGACAAGAAAAAAGAAAAGCCCATGACACTCAGAGACTATCACACCAAGAATCTCCTCGAGGGAAAATTCACTGTCGAGGAAGAGGAGGATGCGCCACCAAAGACATATGCGCAAGAGCAGGAAGAGGCCCGCCAGGAACTCGTAAAGGCTCTGGATGCTGCTGCTGATGGTGAGGATGACGATGATTTCATCGTTGCCAAGGAGAAGCCTGAGAAGCCCAAGGACGACCGACCTAAGATTACAGCAGAGGATGTTGAGAAGGCCGACCAAGATCCAGAAACCTTCCTGTCTAATTTCATGGCTTCCCGTGCCTGGGTGCCCACCAAGTCTGCCCGCTTCCAACCGCTCGAATCGGATGACGAAGATGAAGATGCCGCTGCCGACGAATGGGAGAACTCTTACAACCTATACTTTGAGGACACCACCGGCGCGAATGAGAAGATTATGACATATGCTCGTGACGCTGTCGCAAGTACTACAGTGCGTCGGGACGAAAAGAGCGGCCGAAGAAAGGCTCGCGAGGCTGCACGGGCTAAGCGCGAAGCTGAGAAGAGAGAGAAGGAGCAGGAGCTTGCACGACTGCGCAAACTCAAGGTTGAAGAGATGGAGAACAAGGTCAAGCAGATTCGCAAGATAGGTGGACTGAGCGGCAGAGATTTCAACATTGATGAGTGGAAAGACGTGCTGGAGGCAGACTGGTCGGACGAGCAGTGGGATGCCGAGATGCAGAAGCGCTTTGGAGATGCCTACTATGGAGAGGAGGAAGAGGGCAAGAAGAGCAAGAAGCCAAAGAAGCCCAAGTTTGATGACGACATTGACATCAAGGACCTCATCCCCGACTTCAAAGACGATGAGGAGGAAGAGCGACCGAACCTTTCCTCCGACGATGAAATGGCCGACGCTGGCGCCGACGAAGAAGATGATGATGACGACGTAGAAGATCCAACAACCGGCACTTCCACCAAGAAATCCTCCAAGAAACTCAAGCAAGAGCGCGCAGAAGCAAAATCAACAGCGCGCCGCGACCGCCGCCTAATTGAGAACCTCGTCAACCAAAGCCTCGAATACGAAGCCGCACTCGCCGCTAAACCCTCCAAGGCAGCCTCCCGCTTCCGCTACCGCGAAACATCACCCACCTCCTTTGGTCTCACAGCCCGCGACATCCTCCTCGCCGACGACAAGGCCCTCAATGAGTTTGCGGGCCTCAAGAAACTAGCCACCTTCCGTGACCCAGTCAAGAAGAAGAAGGACAAGAAGTTCTTGAGCAAGAAGGCACGAATCAGGCAGTGGCGCAAGGATACGTTTGGTGATGCTGAGGGGCCAAAGGGCGGGTTTGAGTCGCTTATTGGTGAGGAGACTGCGGCACCGAATGGTGATGGTCCGGTCAAGGAGAAGAAGAAAAAGGAGGAAAAGAGTGAGGGCAATATAGTGGAAGGAGAAAAGAAAAAGAAGAAGAGGAGTCGCAAGAGGAAGCTTGCTCCTGTTGAGCTTTAGATTCGCTTGTTTCTTTCCTTTCCCTTCTCAATGCATTTATCCATGTTGTATGTTGGGTGTGTGTTCTCACTAGATACCAACCGAGAGTATTTATTTAGTGACTTCCAATGCGAAGAATATAAAAAGTTTCTACATCAACACTTGACTTCATCCACATACAAAATTTCTAAAAAAAAAACTTCACTCTAATTCTGAAAATGCACAATGGAATGATTTTTTTGTTCTATTGATAAGCTATTTCTTCCGCCTAGCAAGCGTCTGCTGGTACATCTACATGCCACAAATCCAGCAGGCCCCAGCTCTTTCCTCGTACCCCATTCGGAAGGTATCATATATCATAGAAAAGCAATGGAACTATCGAAAGCCGCAACCCGCGACCCGCGACCAAAGCACTGCATTGGACCGCCCGGCGCCAATTGACTCGACATGGATTTTTGTCCATTTTAAGGAGAGGAGTTTTGGTGTGCCACTGTGACCGTGATATCAGACGGAGAAACGGACGTGTTGGGTATGGTGATGTCGCACAGTCATGGCACAGTGAGCCAAAAGCGACTACTGGTCGTCAGCGTCATCAGGCTGGTCGAAGAGAAAGTTGGCGGCCAGCTCCTCATTCTTGTCGCACGCAAAGTATGCCTGGATAACCAGATCACGCTCAAACCCGAGGCGACACAGGCGCTCAATAGCCTCGCGCTCCTCTTCCGTGACGGAGATGGCCTGGGCGCCCGGTGGCAGTGGCGCGTCCTCATCTGCGTCCTCTGCGAGCAATTGCAGGAACTGCTCCGGGTTGGATGCGATCATCTGAGCCAACTGTGGGTTGCCTGCGCCGACTTGTTGCAGGATGGGCTCAAGCATTTGAGGCTGCTGTTGCACCACCTGTCGTAGCTGCTGGAACTGGGGGTTGTTGCGCAAAAAGTCGAGAGAGTTGGCATTGAGAGCGCCGCCGCCAGCACCTCCAGTACCACCAGAGCGAGCACCGCCAGCACCACCCCGGTTTTGGGCAGCCGCGGCAGCCTCGAACAGATTCATGGGTTCGTCACCTCCAGACGAAGGGTTGGCCTGCGCAGTCGCACCTGCATTTCCGCCAGCAGGCGTAGGCGAGTTGGGTGCACGGGCTTGTGTTTGTTGCGCCTGCTCCTGTAGTGCGCTCTCGGGAATGCCCTAGACGAGAGTTAGAATAAACTTAACCATGCTGGAGCGCCACTCATCTTACCGTCAGCAGGTACTCGACCGCGCGGTCGGGGTTGAAGAAGGCGGCGCGCATGGCCCGGTCAATGTCAGCCCTCGCGAAACCCATGCTCTCCATGTTGGCAATAGCGGCCTCACGCTCGCCACCCATGGTCAGCGCCGATGGGTCATTGAAGCGCTCGCCCGATGCCTGTGCAGGCGCGGGCGAAGGTGTAGCGGGGGCGTTGTGCGTGGTTGATGATTGAGTAGGAGCTTGGGGAGCTGAGGGTGTTTGGGCTGGTGCGGGAGCAGGTGTCGAAGGCGCAGCTCTACTTGAGGATGCAGCAGGAGCGGCCTTTGGCTTGGAGACCATGCAGACAATGAAGCCCTTCTCCTCAATGTTGTACGACTCGACTGTGTTGGCATCCTGGAGGATCTTGCCTGTTTGTTTGTATCAGCGATCGTGGTGGCCACGGGCATGGTCGAAAGCTGTGCAAGCTTACCGGAGTAGATGAGCTTTTGCTGGGGGACTTCCCAGCCCTTCTCTGCTTGGATCTTGGACTTGAGTGCGCCAATCTGGTGAATGTGTCAGCTGGGCCAGGGCCAGGGCCATGTGCAAGGCATGGCGGGCGCTGCATACCGTTTCTGAAGGCTCGGCCTCAATGACGAACTTGTTCTGCTTCAGGTCCTGCACGGGCGTCAACTAGGGCTCTCGGGCACCGCTGGCTCGAGCAGACGCGTACCTTGAATGTGATCTTCATCTTGGCAGGTTGTGCGTGGGTGGTTGAAGATGGCGCTGGGGGTGGGCGGGGTGCTCTTGTAGGTGAGGTGGGGATGATGAAGCTGGTCTTGGCGCGATGGCGCAGTGGAAGGCAGTCGTGGTGGCAGGCAGGGCGCGATGGCAAAGGTAGAGAGGCAGGCAAGAGGGGAGTGGGCTGCACGACGGCTGTGTGTCCAAGCTACAGGCGTTTGTGCGCTTGGTCGATGGTCTGCTTGCGAAGGCAATAGAAGTGTGCCGGGCTGGTTAGGCAGAATCTCTCGTCGTCAACCAGCTGAGTGGGGACCGTCTTTGACAGACACCGACACCGACACATAGGCGCACCGCCACAGTTGGCCGCGGCGGTGAGTGGCGCAGCGCCAAGGAGGCGTTCCTGAGGCGCGTAGGTATGCGTACTTGGCAGAGTCGAACAACTGCTCAGAACACATAAGATCGACAAGGCGAATAGGTGGCTCACGTGATGGCGAGTCACTGGACTCTGCATGCTAGTACAAACCCACGACCCATACGACTAGCACCCAACACCCACGCACACGCATGTATCCACCAACTTGCTCCATGTACATGCGTTTGTAATACACATGCACCATTAGCTACTTCCCACCCCTCCAACGGCCAGAACGGCCTGCCCGCCCGGCAGTGACGCAACAGCAGACAGAATGGCCCGCGTCCTCATCTCCACCCCGGCCTAGCGCTGCTGGCATCCGTCCGCTGTCCCCCGGCGCGCATCCACCATGGCACGCGTCAACACCACTCCAAGAAACTGGCCGGACTGTTGTCATCACACATCAAGTCGCCCTTCCAGCGACTGCACGTCCGCCGCATCGTCTTTTTTGTTTCAATCGCCCATGAGTCACCTTAGACCGTCATGAGGCGAGAATGCTGTTTCACGGACTCGCCACGCCCGTAGTGCGACTTTGGCCAATTGCATGTGCTGTCACGGCTGCACTGCACCACCACGCACTGCACCAGGCACGCCATCGACTGTCCTACCTGCCTGTCTCCCATCTCGCGCATCGCGCCCTGCTTGCTCCCTACATAGCTCATGTAAGTACTTGCCAGCTGCGTGCGCCAGCTCGTCATTGAACAAGGCCCATCCGCCCAGCCCGTCAGGGTTGTTTGTTGTGCTTTTGCCGAAAACAAGGCCAAAACAACGCGTGAGGAAATGAAGGGCTAAACTTACCGCAGCTCCACACTACAGACTATGACAGCTAGGCCCTGGCACCGTTTCCACCGCCCTACAACCCTTCAGCTGCCTGTCCGTCCCCGTTTCCCATTGGTCGCTGCCCCTCGTGTTTCGAAAAGACAAACCGTTTTCCTTTTCGCCTCAGGTGCAGCCCCAAGGGTTGCCAGCCTGATTCAGATGATCCTCGTGCTCTCTTCACCGCCCCTGTGCCAACTGGCTGCAGTCGATAATGTTAAAGTTGCGCGGATGCGGACGTGCTTCAGGCTCCGGTAATCGTGCGTCCTGGCGTCGTGGTGCTGTGTAATCCTCGCTCGATATATGCCTGTCTTCGCCTAAACATGCTAGTAGGGGTTTCCCCGTTCGTCCTACGCGTGTTACAGGCCTGCCCACGAAACAATGGGCCACCCACATCCGCCTTCTGCACCGGCTCTGAATTTATTATTACTTCTTGTCCCTCCCCACACCCTTCCCTACCTGTCTTTACGCCGTCAGCTTGTCCTGCATTCGCCCCTGTGGCTCTCAGCCAGTCGCCAACCATACCCTCATTCTTCTCCTTCGTCACTCTCTCTAGCCTAACCACCCCGACCACCCATCTCTACGGACACTCGCCATATCCGGCCTAGGCCCGTGTCAGCTACGGCCCATAAACGGTTCACCCAGCTATAGTACCTGCACCTATACAGCCGCATCATTTCCTCGAACGCGTCTACCTCCGCGACTCCCCACAGCAACAAGACTGGGGGCTTTTTCTATCTCATCCTACCAGTTCCACTTACATTGCCGCATCCTCCTCGCTTCCCCCAAGAGGACGACCGCCAATCGACAACCATTTCTTTTTCTGGGCAAGCTGGTGCTATATTATCATCCTACTTGCTGTCGTCTTGATATCTACCCTGCTACAAGATCCTGCAACCCCTTTGTCGACCATTCCTCCGAAGCCTTCCGAGGCCACTTGCCCGTACCTCGACAGTACTTGCAAGTCCTTCCGGACTAAGGCCTACTTCTTCTATCAGTCATGTCACAGTCTCGAAAATCCTACCTTGCGCTTGTCGGTCTTGTTGCCTGGTCAAGTACAACAGTGGATGCAGTCTTATCCATATTGGAGGCGGCTTCATTGTCAACTACTCACTCTTCCTTGGCCAGCATCGCTGCCACGGCAGGTACATTCGATCTCGTCTCCCTCTGCTGCATTGGTTTCTATACTCTTTATAATGTCGGGAACGTACGCGGCGCACTGGAGCGATCAGGGAAAGCAAGCAAGGCACTCATAGCCATCAGCATTCTACTGTCAAGTGTGGCATTGATCCTCTCACTTGTATTGATCATCGTGATTAAGTCAAGATGGGACGAGATCACTGCTGCTTCTCCGGTTGCACCCATCTCAAACTGGAGCAGCTATGTCTCCGCACAAATAGCGCTATGGATCATCTCATGCGCCAGCCAAGTCGTTCTGTACACTTCCCCTCTGTGGAATCGTAAGGCTCCAAAAGTTCAGACTGTCGTTACTTCTGGCCCCCGAGACTCTGTCATAAGTGAGCTGCGAGCACATCGCCCTAGCGACTTGTTCTTGGGCAAAGCCGTCGAGCCATCGTCGCCACTGGCTGCTCACCACCGTCCGGAGGCTATGGGATCATTGCCCTCGCCTACCCTTTCTATTCAGTCGTCAAAGTCACTTAAATCGTTCCGAGAATCGCTTCGTCATGTTGTGCGACCCGTCACATCACGCACTACTTTGATCAGCCAGCGATCATTTAGCCGAGATGCACCCCCTAGTATTTACTCAAATCGGCAATCCTCAGATACCATCGCACACTCGGACGGATTCGATAGCTGGGATACTAGTGGCGTAATCATTCCCACACGCGACGTTGTCCTGCAGCAAACGATGCCGTACAAGGGCACGACGTTGGAACCAATTCCTGGAAGCCGACCAAATTCATTTGGTCGGGCCCTGGACGGTTCTTTTCTTTCCGAGCTTCCGGAGGAAGATGACGAAGAATTGTGCCCGCCTCCCAGGATGATGCCAGATGTTTCTCGACCACCTAGCCCTGCCGTCAGTGAAGCTCATATCCATCCGCTGTTTAGGTCGGAAAGTCCATCAGGCCTGCCACCTCCAGCCGCTACGCCAGGCACTAGCATCATGGCTAGCCCTTATTCGAACCAGGCGATTGCATGCCCTCCGCGATCATTCAACCGGATGAGATCGAGTAGCCAACTGAGCCAGACGAACACGATCAATAGTCTCCACCACACCAGGAGCTTTACGCGCGATCGACCAGGAAGTATGGGGTCCAAATCAAGGAGCCCTTCACCTCCAAGCCGCGCGATTACACCTCCGATTCCCGATTTTGTCTTGAATACCTCTCCTCGAACTAGCATCAACGGCTCTCGGCGAGTCAACCTGCAATATTCTCCCGACCGATAAAGAGCTGCCTCTAGTCACCAACCGATAATACGGTTATTGAGATGATGCAGTACTTGGTCAAAAGATTTCACGTTTTCTATGCTTGTATGATACGATTCCCTCAATTCCCTGTATTCATTTCTTCAATGCTTTCTCTGTTTTGCGAGCTCTCGCCCGAGGGCTTGATCGAGCTTTCAGCGTTTCCTCAGTTTATCCCTTATCAGGGCTCCAGCATGTGGACTGTCGAGCAGACCCAAGTAAAGATATTTTTTATTATAGTACCTATTTTTATTAGTCATGGCGGGAACACTAGAAGACGACCAAGACAAAAGCTATAGAGGCTCTTATGCCTAGTGTTTCAAGAATTGAAATCTGGACACTACCCATACGAGATACATACATAATACATATTCAGTACAAAGATCTACTGTCCACGAACAACGCTATTAGTACCTATGATGGTCGCTTCTTGCTACACGAGACCCTTTCACACCGTACTTTTCAGCTTCAGCAAGCGTGTCTTGTCCTTGGGTAATTGGGTCCTATGGAAGATCTAGACTTTGTTGCAAATACCACGAGCCAGTATCATATCCGTTTCGCGCCCATCCTGTCTTTTGTTCTCGGTGAAAGAAAGCAACAAATATACTGTTTAACCTAGGCGATCCTATCCAGGGTTAAACAGTCGATCTCCGCATTTGAAGGGGGGGTGTGGGAAGAAAGGGGTTGCACGGTCAACTCCACAGCGAGCTACCTTTGTTTGTTTTAGCACGTTTCGATCAAAACAATGGTTGGTGTACATGTTTTGAACTGGGGGGAGGTAGGTGCCCTGAATGCGGATCCGAATCATGATTGCAGCTGTCGCAACGTAAAGGGAACGTGGTAGGGTGGATCTTTTGTTGTTTTGGGGCAACTTGACAGGACGAAAATGGCTAAAGCAATGCAAAGCAACAAGGTCCCTCGTATTGGCAAATCAATTTAAACTTGGTTTGGGCTGTTAAAGGTTTAAGAAAAAACAACAAGAAGACTACTTATACGGTGTATACTGGTATCCTTGCACATGCTGGTGATGCGATTGCTATGGTACGTAGGGCTGTCATGATACGCTTCCCGCAAGAGTAATGATATTTTTTTCGTTTGTCACGCAATTGTGCTTTTTTCTCGTTTTTGCCCTTTCCCCGGCCTCCACACCCGCGCTGAAGGGATAAGAATAACAACACAAAAAAAAGAAAACAAAGTTTGTTGACGCTATGCTGCTGAACAAAGAGGATTGGCTGGTTTAGCGTCCCCACACGGCAGGTTTTGTAGAACAAAGGTTGTCAGTCTTGAAACACCGCCTTTTCCCCAAAAAAGAAGACTCGCGTTCATACTAGACGTGGTATGCATGTGTACCCCTCTTTTTGCCACTCACAAGAAAGGGCATGTTTATATATGTATGTGTGTGTGTGTGGGAAGGAAAAGACTACGACATGGTTGTTCCAAAAAGCGAGAGATGCATGTAGGTTCTTCCCCAAGACGGGTAGATGGCAACAAAGCAAAAATAAAATAAAAATGAAAATGTTTAAAGAAAAGGAAATGCCTGACTGCATTGCCGAACAAAGAAACGTACGTTCTACCACGATGGAAACCCTTCCCCTCACGAGACCCCTCTCTACATATGAGTAGTTTGACAGGAGAGAGAGAGAGAGAGAAAGGGGCGGAGGAGGGAGGGTTTTACCACTCATCCCCACACAACTTCCCATTGGAAAAAAATAAGCCCGAATAATCCTCTTATCAATAATAAATCTTTCGCATTATACTATCACCAACATCACCTTCACCTTCTCCCCCAGCCATTCTCAAATACCCTATTCTGAGAACTTTGTTTCATGCACAGTGGGAGAGAAAAGCAGAAGAAGGAAAAGAAAAAAACTCTGCGTAATTGTACAGCGCCGTTTACCCCCATTGCTGTGTCAGAAAAAAAAAAGGGCGAACAAGCGGCATGTGCATGTTGATGGGAATGACGATTTCGGGAGGATCGTCCCGCCCTAGGTTAGCCGGGAGTGTGCGCGGTGCGGCTAATGACGTGCGACGTGAAACCTGTATGAAGCAACTAAAGAAAGCTTCCAGAAGCACTGGGCAACGACGCACACCTTTTTTATTATTATTTGTTATGTGGCTGCTGCTGCAAAGACTATAAGTAGGGAAGTGTATATAAATATATAAATACATAGATGTGTATTGTGAGGAGAGATTTTCAAGGGTCCAGCAGGTTGTTCAAATCGGGTCGTCCTTTTTTGGGTAAGGGGGGGGGGGGGGGGCAAGCACTGGGAGGTTTCGCGGTAGGCAAATGAAAACAGGTGTATCTGGAGGGAGTAGAGTGTATAATGCGTAGCATCTTACTTTTCAAGTATATACAAACGGGTCCGTTGGTATATAGTGGTGATGGCGAAGTTGGTTGTATAATGCCAAAGTTGGCCACGGTTGTTGGCTGGTGGGCGGCTACGCAAAAGGGAAAGGCGCGCTGTCATTCGTGGGATGCATTCTCAAAGTAGTTTGGCGCGAGCAGGCCAGACCAAGGATCTCACAAGAGCTTCATCTTCATGCGCCGGAATCGACACCGTTGCTGCCACTCCTTCGACTGGGCTTCTGGAACCTGCTGTGCAAGCTGCTGCTACTGCTTCTTCCATCTTTTCCTTTGCTTCCGGTGTTTACGCATCTTCTGTTCGTCTGGGGCGCTTCGACTGCAACTCGGCCACACGGAGCATTTCGTTTTGCAAGGTAGTCTGCTACTCTTGCCGTCCATCTTTGCTGTTCTCGACGAGAAAATCGCGTTTGGGGGTGGACGAGAGGTTGATATCTTGTCCTGTTGCTGTTCCATGTATTTCCGGTCTAGTGACTCGGATTTCGCATTCCGTTGTTGAGCAAGTCACGGTGGTACCGGGAGGCGGACTGGTACACGGGTAAGTACCTCATCTTTCACCACGTAGCATTTGTAAATCGACGACACAGTCAGTCGTCTCTCTCAATGCTTCTGTGCGAAGCATACGACGAGCAGTGGAGATATATTCCATCTTTGCCTCCTGATACTACTATCACGACTATGCTGACACGTCTTGCTTACAGACCCGACGATCGCCGTGTCACACGTGCAAAGCAGCAACAACACCAGTCACAGAGTATATACCACAGCATTTCGACTGTAAGTCTTGATCTCAATGCTCTGAAGCAGGCGGTTGGCGTCATGCTGCTTTCCAGCAACAAGGCCATGACAGGCTAATGACAGGGTCATCAAAGGTGTCAGCCCCCAAGTGCTCGCCGACAGCAATGCCACCACGGCGAAAGTCGCAGACGGGCGGAGCCATGTCTGCAGCATCGTTGAAAGGCTCAGGTACGTCCGAATTGCCATTTCCAACGGCGTCTCCATGTTCCCCATAGGGTTATGCTAACCTTGGCATAGCCGCTAGCGCATTGTCTAATAAGCGAAGTAGTCTTCAGGGTTCGAAGACATCTCGCCTTGCTCCTTCAGTACCATTCCAAATGACAACGCGTCGCGGTGCAAAAGGCACATCTAACCACACAAGCTCCGCGGGCCCATCTAGCGCGAGCTCTGGCAGCCGTCGCAATTCTCTGGATGAGAACGCGCAAAACGAGGATGCGACTGGCGACCATGAGGATGCGCGACCAGCCAAGCGCAGCCGAACATCGTCCGATTCTGGTTCGCCGCAAAGATCTAATGGCTCACTCGACAACAACAACAACAGCAGCAACACGCCCATGAATGGCACGCAAACCCCAGAGCTGCAGAAAGCCGCCTCTGGCGCGACTTCGTCAGCCCCTAAAACGGCTGGCAAAAAGAGGCGCGCATCCGACGGCTCCACCCACTCGAGCAAAACACGCCCAAACAGTGTTCTGACCCGGGCCCAAAGCGATGTTTCTGAGCAGCAACCGCGCAAAAAGCGCAAGACAAAAGAAACGGCTGCAGACACAGCCGCCGACCAGCCTCCTGAGTTGACTGATGCTAGCACTGCCCCCAATTCGCCAGAGCACATGCCCGATGTTGATGGCAGTCAAAGCCTGCACAACATCCTGCCAACCAGTGGCGATGCCCCTGCAAAGTCCAGCAGGCGCTTGCCTGGTCGCCGGCGCCAACCGCATCCGGACATCAATGTGGAGACTGATTTACGGCGACAGCTCAACCTGAAGATGAGCTATCGCAGCCTTGCAAAAGTCCAGAAACTCTTGCTCGAAGAGCTGGCCACGCGCACCACTAAGAACTTGGAAGACGATCCCGACTTTCATAAAAAATGTCCCGAGTACGAGGCTGTCATGGCCCAACTTGACCAGCGCCGCGACGCGCGTCTGGATCAAGTCAATGCCATGCGCACGTATCGACTCGAGCAAATGGAGCGAGTGCGTATTGCTGAAGAGCATATCCAAAGGGAACAGTACATCAATCGATTCCGGGAATTGCAAGATGACTTTGTGCTGCAAATCTACTTCCGCGCAAAGCAACTGGAGCGGGAGATGAAGGGCCAAGATGCTAATGCGACTGATGACGAGGACAATGTTCTCCCGCCTACGTATAGCGATGAGCCCCATCATGCAGAAGATGACCGCATTGGATCCAAGTTTGCTTCACGCAGCAGAGCTTATGTTGAGGCGGACAGGGAGCTTGAGCACGAGTCGATCCGTAAACGATTCAGCCAGGCAAGAGCTGCTTTTGTCGAAAAGGACGAAGAAGCCGATGATTCTATTGAAGATGTTGCCGGTGGATTTGCGAGGTTTGACGGTCCAGATCGCACGGAAGCTATTGCACACTACAACATCAACAGCCTTGCTGATGCCGCATATGAAGTCGAGAGAACACCGTCGCCACAACCGGAAGAACCAAAGGCCGAGGTCATTCCAAACGAGCATGCTGCTCTACTCATGATGCTTGCAGACGTTTCTTCTAACCAACCCCGGAATAGCACTGTACCAAAACCACCTCTTCATTACCCGCACCCACAGCAGCAGCCTCCTCCGCCACCAAGGGCTAAGACGCCCGTGATTAAACAGGAATATACGAAAGAGAAGACGCCTGAGATTGCTCCATCAGCAGGCCCACAGGGCATACCATCTCATGCTGCACGTAATACTCCTGCCGAAAGCACACAGCCAGCGGCAGATCTCAGCCATGAGATTCGTCGCTCTGAACCATCTGAAAACATTCCTGCAAAAGAACCGGAGGTGCCCGCAAAGTCAACACCAAGATTATCTACTCATCGGATCATGGATATACTGAATGATGACCGCGAAGTGCCTGTATCGAGAACACGGGAACAACAGCCACCAGTTCAGGAAAAGCCCACTTCTTCAAAGCACGAGCCATTGGCCCATCGCCGCACAACGTCTCGGAGCGATGCCCTGCGAGTGGATGCTATGGTGAACAAGGAAGAACCGCC